GCAGACATCTGGAGCCTCGGCGTGTCCCTGTACACCATGCTAATTGGACGATACCCTTTCCAGGACACGCAGCCAACTGCACTGTTCGCCAAGATCCGCCGTGGGGTGTTCAGCCTTCCCAATAGCTTATCCCCACAGGCAAAGTGTCTGATCAGCTGCATGCTGAGGAAGGCCCCTGTTGAGAGACTGAAAGCATCTGAACTTCTGATGCACCCGTGGCTGACCAACCATTGCATGCAACACCACAACGTACACAAGTCCCATCACAACCAAAATACCACTCAGAACAAGCAGGAGGAGGAAGACCAAGTGGTGCCAACATGGACGGAGAAACAATAACACTTTAATACACAAACACTATATCTTCACACATGTGGGTATTTATAATAAAACATGCCTGGCCAAAAGTCAAACAGTCAGTCACCACCTGGCAGTGGTTTTATTGTAATGCATTTCTTCAATGTGAGTAATTGACTTTCACTTAGAGCTGCATTATTTAAACACTTCATTTTAATGTTATTTTAATCAATACTTGAACTAATGATAAAAAATAAGCTAAAGGCAAGGAATGCTTTTCCTTTTGCAGTTCCTACAATCTGTTTCATAACCAGGGCCTAAACGAATTATAGCATTGTGCCATGCAAAGTGGCTGCAATTTGAAAGAGACAGCGATTGATGACAGCTTATTATGATGTATTAAATTAGTCAGCTGACGGCATCTTTTTAGGGCCATACAAGGACTGAGAGGACAAACTGCATTTACCCTACAGTTCTGCTTTTATGGTTTGTTTTCCTCAGTTACATTTCAAACATCTAAGTTCCTTAATACCGGTAATAAAAATTATTCACCATTTATTTCAGATGATATAAGGGTTTTTTTGTTTGTTTGTTTTTTAGAATGAATAGCTCTTAACTTATCTTCATTTATTCCATCTACTTGTGTCTTTGCTTGATGAAGAGCAATAATTTGATCCCGCTGAAAATACATAGCATATCCTTCACCGTCAGTCTGTCGTCTAACAGCTTTACTTTTCAGCACAAGACTGCAATTTTATCTTAAGCTCAACTGGTTTCTGTCTTTTTGGGCCAGGCAGTGTGTACTAAATTAACAACTATAACCTTAATTCCCATTTTAAGGTTGAAACATTTCTCCATGAAAGTCATTACAACCCCTAGTCATTTTTGTTATTTTTAACAAATGTATCGATAGATGAAGTGATAAACACTACCAATGCTGTGGTCCTGGATTACTTGAACCTTGGGTGCCTTTTTCTGTCGGTTGTTGTGTCTCAGTTTATGCTCCGCCTCTTTCAGACTGACTCGTCCAACATGATGACCCATCTAAGACTTAAACCTACAGTTCCTCTTTCTAATTCTCTGTTCTGCTGCCATCTGTGATGCTTGGAACTGGCTTTAGTAATTAACAGGGTTTTAAGGGGTATTTCTGCATGACATGCAGTGTGAAAACCTTTTTAGGTATATTCGATGTCAGATGAGTATTACTTTTTTAAAAAGGGAAGCTGACCCAGAGTAGACTACTTTTATAAGATTTCATGGTTTTGTTTTTTTTAGTGATGTATATTAAAGATTTTGGTAGATCTTTCCATCAAAACAACAGTCTGTTCAAACAGCCAACTGGATATTTGGTCTTACATACAAAGTGGTTGGTATAATATATAAAAAAAAAAAGATAAATGCTTATTAACATTTAATGGCGACCTTGTTCATGTGTTTTCTTTTTACCAACTCTTGAAATTAGCTTCAGCTTCACTATTTACTGCTTATACTGATGTTACAGGTGTTCAAATTTTTGCCTGAACAGAATTTCAATCAGTCTCTGGAGGAGGCAGAGCCTAAAAGAGGCAGCACACCGTTCAATTGTTTACATTTACAAATCCTGGTGGTGATCATAACAACCTTTACGGATTTAAAACGTGTTACTGAGATCAATGAGTTTAACTTGTATTTTTAGTTTTCTTATAAACTTATTTTTATTTAGCCTGTATTTAATTAAAGATTAAAAATGAACTTGGAAATTTCCACATAATAAAAATCAAAAAATTGTAAAGTTACTGAGAATATTTATAGATTGGATTTAATATAAACAAATAAATGTGAATAAATAAACTTACATTTTTTGGATAATTAAAACATATTTTGGGGTTTTCATGTTCCAAATTGGATGAACAGCTTGTTGCAGATTTGCCATTATATAACATATTTTTTAAAGAATAAAAAATAAGCACTTAAATACCCTGAAAAATCGTATGATTTTGTAGTAACAGAAGAATTATTCTTAACTTAATCTGTCCTGCTTTACTGACTAGCTTTAAGCCTGCAAACAGTATGCCTTTTATTGTACAGTGCAATTCTGATGTCAGTTGTAAAAATAAAAAATAAAAGCTGTTTTAATGTAATCGTGTATAAATATTGGTGTTTTTATTGATAACTTTGTTTACTATTGACATTTTTCTTTTTGTTTTTCTTTTACTGAATCAACTTAATGGGACAGTGTTTGAGCATGCAATATTGTTTTAAATATATTGGATTTAGCAATGCTAACTTCCATTTATAGACAAATACCTGCATACAATTTCAAACAGAAAAATAAGTAAAATTTAAAAGACATATATATATAGATATATATATATATCTATATATATCTAGATATATATATATATATATATATATATCAGGCTTTATAGCTTTATAAGTAATTTTATGCAAACAATAAATAAGTGACTAACATATTGTTCCCATGGCTCTAGGTCCTTTTCATAAAGATGCTATGAGTGAGGGAGGGGCCAAGGTTTATTTGCTGATGTATGGGGCTTAAAGTAATCCTGCACTGTTAGTCCACCATTTATGTCCCCTGCAGGTCAACTGGCTTTAAAAGTAAACTATGTAATGATTTTCTTCACTTAAACAAATTTTGCAGTTTTAAGTGTTTTAGATACCAGAAAAAAAACAGCTAATGGGGAAACTAAAGACGCACATTTACAGATTATGCAGTTGGTGAGCTCCAGGTCTCATCTGCAATTAGCGTCAGTCTTCAAGCTGACAACCACTGCACACAGCTCAACTTATATCAGCTTGTAATATGTTTAGTTTTACAAAAATAAATTCAACACAAAAAGCCAGATAACTGCGTAATAAGAACTTGAATCTTGGGACTAATCCGATGCATTATTTGTTTCGGACCCAGATCTGGGGTCAAATAACGAACCGAGGCCACAGATCCAGACTTCATAGTCTTTTGTCACTGAGAAAGATACTTAGGTTGATTTTACTACAATAACATATCTATGGCCATAAATTAAAAAAGCTATATTTTGATTGATGCATTTGTCCATTTTGCAGACCTAGTTGAAATGTCCACCTGTGAGCACTACACTGCTTGCATTAAAATACATTATGCTCAATCTTAGATATCAATGTGGAGAGGATTGTCTCCCTTTGAGATACAAAAAAGAAACACATGCAGACACAAGAGTTAGGGAACATACATCATATAATGTTTCAGGAGTAGTGTTGCTGGTATCTGGCTCATATCAGTCTGCAGTTGTCTTTGTGCAAAGAGTTTTGAGAAACTTACTCTAACATGTGTTATTAGATACTCTGACACAAACGTATTGTATCCGGATACAAATATATTTGGTAGGGTATCGCTACTAAATACAAGTATTGTATGCATATTTTTGCAATTGTTAATTTTAGATTTCTGGATTATTTGCACAGTAAAAGAATAATACCTCCAACAACTTACAAATATTGTCAAATTGTTTTATATTTGGGTTATTTATTTGCAGTTATCCAACCACTTGAATCTGATTTTTATTCCTATGGTATCAAAAATAGCATCTAGTTTAAAGTATTTTCCTGTGTAATGAGTTTACAATTTTAGTATAGTGACAATCCTAAACTCAACAGATTAGTCCTGCTACATTTATCCCCTTTCCATTGTCCTGCGATGAAGGGTGATAACAGGAGGCTGCACACAAGCCTTTTCTTGTAAGAATCTTTTGACAGTAGGAAGTATATATATATATATATATAAAAAATATGAGCGCTTAAATCAGCCATCTTTTCTGAGCTCTACATCCATATTACATGTATCTGAGGGTTTTGCATGAAGCAAACCTCGACAGGAAGCAGCTCTATAATGTTTATGTTCCATGTATGCTTTTACTTTGACAGGAGATGCTGTGTAGTTGCCAGGGTAACGGCATTAGGACAATAAAATGTTGGAGATGGGGCTGATTATCTATTACTGAATTTGCTCGGTTTAATATTGAGATAGTTTAATAGATACTGATCGTAAGCAGACATTGACTTGAACTTGAAAACTGAAAAAAAAAGCAATTTTGCTTTTTGTTTTATTAACCAAAGAATGAAACACGCACAGATTATGTTGGATGGTTTTGGACAGTTTAGCAGTATCTGCAATTCAAAACAATATACATAGACTTTTAACCATGCTTAGGTTATTAATTACCATCAACAGTGAAATAAGATTTAATGTCTCCATTATGTGGATCTTTATTCACTTTACCTGGTGTAATGTAATCAGTTGAAGTTACTAAGCTACAAACATTAAATATATCACATAATTTTGGGCTCAATAAAGGAAAAAAAAAAAAAAAAAAGAGGGTTCCTACACAGTCTTAAAGAAGCTGGCTTATAATCAAGACAAGTGTAAAAAATGAAACACTAGAAACATTTTTTAATTTGCATTTTATCTTTACATGAATAAGATAAAAAAGGACCCTTCTAAATTGATAAATAGTCTAACTGTAACTCAAAAGAATGAGCAGAAATGTTTAAAGTCGTTTTGTTAAATAAATCTTCTTTGTCAATAAATCTAATACATTTTCTGTGTCTTTTAAGTTTTAAAATCAGTTTTTAAGACTTCTTCTGACTACAGGAATTGGTAAGGAGGACTGATCATTACAGCTCCATAAAGTAATGATTTAAAGTGAACACAGTAAACAGATAATATCTAAAGACAATGTGGGTTCATTCACCTCATTTTTTTATTGAATTAATCAAAAAGCAGAACGATTATTTCTCCCCAGTCTAATCCTTCATTCAAAGCTCAGCTCTGACCCATTATTCTTGTGCTGAACAGAAAATCTGCTCTGTCCTCATCTTAGACTTCATCAGCTAATCCAGTCTTTAAGCTGTCCTTCATACTGTACATGCAGAGGTGCCACTAAGGGACTCAGCAGTAGCAGCAGGTTATGAAGCAGTGTCAGTTTCCATGTCATCAGTGTCGTCGCCATCAGAACGGCAGATCTCCTCCAAGGCCAACTCTGACAATACAGAAGTAATACATGTAAGATTAAACAGCCAATACTCCGCTGCTACAGGCAGCAGAAATAAAAAGGTCAAATAAGGATTTTTAAATATAAATTACTGCATTTTAATGATTATGATCCAAGGCAAACAATACTTGATATGAAATGTAATTGTTCACTACAAAGAGGATTTCTAGCTTTGTCATGCAAACAAGTCATCAACAAAATAAACTCTGGATTATTAAACCACTTTATCCAAAGACAAACTCTCGATTTAAAGGGGTCGTAGAATGCAAAACCGAGCTTACATTGTCTTGGAAGAATAACGATAGTTCAGTGGGTAAAATGGACGTACAGAGAAGTTCAAACCCCGTCGACACCTCCTTTCTCTGCAAATCTCACAAATCTAAACTTCCACCATAAAACGGGTGAATCCAAATGAAGCCATGAGTTGACATAAACTTGGAGACGTTGCCTTATTTGTACTTTTGTGTCGACTGCTGGGCCGCTGACTGGACCTCACCAGAGATCCATGAGCCCCCCATCCTCAGCCAGAAAAGGAGGGGTCCGGTAAGGCAGGCGGGGGAAACACGGGGCCGCCTGTGTCCAGGCTACAGTCAACAGGCTGGGTGTGGTCGCTCCGTCCCCCGCTGGCGCCCTGTCCGTGTCCACCCGGGTTCCTGGACAAGCCCCGGGGCTGATGGCTCGGTTCGTGTGCCGGGTGCGTTTCAACTACGTGCTACACTGTAGTCGACCAAAATCCCGGACGATTTTGAAATTCCCCCCGGACATTTCTTTTAGGTATGAAAAGTAGAACATGTCCAGGAAAAAAGGGACGTCTAGTCAACCTTCCATATCGACAATTTGATGTTTAAGTGAGTGAGTGCTTGTTGCTATGAAGCGTCTTTGCTCAGCAGCTTCGCTCAACCGTAAACCAACCAATCAGTGCACAGCTCATCTAAATATTAATGATCATACCATAAAAGGAAGAAAACCTGTCATTTCATTCTAGGGCTTTTAACCAGGCTTGCATTAGGGCACATAGAACAGCAAATATGCCATTTTGAAACCCAACCAATGTTACACACCCTATTCACAGACCTTAAGGACCAGCACCAAATACCCTATAGAATCATTCTATGACCCCTTTAAAGCTCAAAGATAATCTATGGTTTGTGTCCATCTACCTTCGCTGTCACTCAGCTCAGGAATCTTGATCAACGTTTCGCGCACAGAAGGGATCATCTGGTCATACATGTGCAACACTGGCCTGCAGCTTTCAGAGAAGCTCCTATGATGCAGCAGCAGCCAGTGAAGAAGCAGCAGACATTCTCTGAGGAGAGCTGATGCTGTATCACTCCAATCAGGTGAGCAGGCCACTGAATAAAAGAAAAAATTAATTGTAGGGAACTAACTGTACGCTTAAGAGAATCCCTCTTTTTTTCTCCAAACTTACCTGATGGTTGCTCTTGAGAACCACGAAGATCCAACCACTGACGATGGAAAATTATTACAACTACCTGAACCAACTGCGAAGGAAAAAAAAGTATATTGAAATATATGTATTGTGGAAAAAGCAGATTATTTTCAAGAATCAGAGAGAGTAGTTAACCTCAGTATAACACTGGCAGGGACTCTGCTCGCTTTTTGTCCAGCTCTCTGTCCTCTGAGTCACTCTGCTCAACAAACGCACAACCTAAAGACAGTGAATCTCTGACATTAGCTCGGTTTCAGGAGGGTTCACACACTTCTTTCACATTAAAACTGTTATCGAGTTCATTTATAAAGGGTTATAAAATATACCTCTTGTTTCCATGTATCAAATTAAAAATCTATATGTGTCACCTGCAGGTCCAGCAAAATCAAGTCTGTACAGGTTGCTCTGGTGTCTGGGATGGTCCTGATCAAATGGAACAACTTAAGGAAAATACAGGTATCTGCAGCAAAACAGTGGAGAGAAACAGTGAAATCAAACTCCTTTTATAACATGGATGGAATTTTATGAAAGCAAAATAAGTGCACAAGGGTAGATACTGAGTGAGTATGTCCCATCAGAATTGCATCAGAAGTCACTTGAGTCATTTTGTTAGAGTCTCACCATGCTGGGAGCAGAGCTGTTTGGCCAGTGATGGATGGTCAGACATGGCTGTGAGAACAGAGACACACTCTGAAACCATTTGCACCCTGGTGTCTTGTGATAAACACAGACATACCACCTGCAGCACAGACTGCAGCCTGAGAAAAGAGAGGAATGAAACCACATTCATCACTAAAGCATAACATTAGGAATAGAGGTTTATAGGAAAGAAAATAAATCTAATAAATATGCAGGAAGTTCATTCTAAGCTGCATTACCTGATGGTTAATACAGAAACAAAAACAAATCAAACCTTCTAAACCTACTCTTAATAATAAATGAATAATAAATGATTATGCCTATGATTCTATATATTTGGGAGGGGTTTCCTTAACAACACTGAAGTGGTTTAGATTTGATCTTAAATCATTTAATAACAGACATATTTTACTCCACTCTTAAAAAGCAATAATAAACTCTTCTTGGCTTTCAAAAATAGCTTAATTACACAGTATAGCTAAATATTAACCTCTGACTTTTAAGGAACAGGTATACTTTTTTTTTTAAATCTTTCATAATGCTGTTATTCAGCAAACAAATTATTATACCAAAGGCAGCTTTTATTTCTTACTTTATTTGTGCTAATTACCCTAACATTGTTCTGTCTACAAGTAAACTAAAACTTGCAAACAAAGCGAATGTGATGATAGTTGTACCTCCAATACTGTTGGAAAGAAATGACTAGAAGCGACAAACCGGAATGGAGGGAGACTCTATACAAGCCCTCCACCAAAGATTTCTGTTCTGCATATTTGAGTTTCTATTATAGCAGCTGAATGATTGTGAGCATCAATAGCAGCTCATTCAAAGCCCGTTTTAAAGCATTTATTTCTAACTTTGTAACCGTATCGGGGAATGCATACTGCAAACCGAAGGAGGCACATAACATACTGGAAGCATTGTTGCTAAGCAACGAGGCAGATCAGGTATGATCTCAGTTCCTTTACCACTGCTGTTGGGGCTTATTAGGTCAAAAGACACAAAAGTTTTCAATAGTTTGGTCAGATCAAGGGCGGTTCATAGCCACAGCACAATAGTTTGTTTGGAAAAGGACTGAAACCACCTCAAAGAGTGAATATCAGTCCTGTTGGTTGGTTCAGATTAAACAGAACCGGAATAAAGGCAAGAAGCTAGGGGGAAACATCTCCTTACTATTTAAAACCAAATGTAGGTGTGAATACTAAAAATAAACAAGTCTTTTAATAAAGTGCATATTACTTTAACTGTATTAGAGTCTACATTGCCTCTTAAGTCCTCAAAGTCTGAATATTTTCAATAACTATTGCTGCATCTCTGGGCTGTCGGTAAATATAGACCAAAATAAAAACAGCTCATATAAATGTACCTGTCAGAATGAGCGGGCGGAGTCCTTTTTATGAGGACACATATAGTCTTCAAAGCGTTTAGGGTGAGTTTCTCCTTCTGGGCACTGTTACCACTGAAACGGACGTCACACAGCCGGAGCAGTGACTGCAACAAGGCATTCTGGGAGGAAAGACCCACATGTCCATCAGAGCAATCGCTCTACAAAAAGACAAATTAATGCTTTATTAATGAGAATCAGCAGTTCTAAAGCTTTATTTTAAAGTTATGCCTAATTTTCATGTACCTTTTCTGTAGTTCTCCTCAACAACACTGCTTCCACCACCTGAAGAGCGGTTTATAAAAGCAAAATATATCAGAATATATAATTAACCCAAATGTGTTCAACATCATTCCCTCTTTAGGATCCCATTACCTCGTTGCTTTGGGCCAAAAGTAAGTAAAGAATCTTAAGTGCTACCAAACCAGTGTCCTCTACACTGAAACCTGTGACACCAGCCTCATCCGGTCTCCCCAGCACATGAGAAACACTTTGGCATTTTGGGAGCGATATGGCAGCCGTGGAGTCCGACCCACGGATGCCAGCAGAGGAGCAGCGAAGAGAGTCCAAAGTGGAACAGAGCTGAGAAAGATGTAGATCTAACAGAGGGAGAAGGAAGACTGCTCCTGGGCATGACCTGCAAATAAAACGAACATTTATTTTTATTTTATTCTCAGACTAATGTCTAGCAATATCAAAGGCAGAAAAATGAAGTTACTGAACAAAAAGCATTTAGTTAAACAGAAAACCAAATAAAGAGATGCAGTAAAAAGCTACATCCCAACAGCTGTGATTCAATGATGCTTTTACAACACTTTACCACAAGAGGGCTCTGTTGCCCACAAAATATTTGAGTGATGTAACAATTTCTGGGCCCAAATCCTCCAGTTTGAATCCAGACAGTCTAGTAGAGCTTTTGGAAAGGTCCAAGTCTGCCAGACTACCTGTTATCTGTATTGCTGAATGTGGTGGCTGTTGGACTCTGACTCAGAGTGCCAAGTCTGGCTGCAGCCAAGCTTTGGACCAAACTCAGAGGAGCTCTGGGGACTTCGACGGCGCCGGCACCATCCAGGGGATCAGAGTGGAGCTGAGAGCCACTCGACAGCTGACTGAACACAGTGACATGAAACAACAAGTCATTCATTAGCATTACATATTCAGGAAAACTGAAAATGTAACATCCAACAAATATTAGGCTGCAGGCGTTATTTCCTCAAACGTTATATCTAAATTATAAACATTTCTTGGAAGGGAATAGAAATAAATATCATTGATATAACCTTTAACCTTCTGAACGTATTCCAAAACATATAAATCTGCCTTCTTCACTGAGCCTTCCCTAAAGCCTCAGCAACTATGTAATGTGGGGTTCTCAGTTTGTTGGTACGGCGTTTACCTGAATTCAGCCACAGTCATGGACAGCAGGTGTGAGAGGCCGAGGCTGCTAGGAAGTAATGGCTGCTGTAACAGCAGACCAAGCAGGACGCCTCCTAGAGGGGAACACGGAACCACAGCATGTGAAGAAAAGTCCTTCCTAACAGTGCCTCTCAGAAAATAACAAAATAGTATTTTTTTAAATATTTGAATGACTCAATGGCAGTTCAATTCCTGGCTTACAGCAAATGGTAAACAAATTCTCCAATAAAAAAAAGAAAAAAAAACGAAGAAAATTCTTCACAGATGGATTCAATTTTTTTTATTCAAATCTTTTTTTGTATGATTTCAGAAAAGATTTGAATAAAAAATATTGAATCCATCTGTTTTAAACTGTCCACAGCATATGTGCTTCACTTTTTGAACTGAATCACTTTTACTATTAATCAGGGTTTGCACAGCATAATGCAAGTTAAATTCAAGACTATTTAATGGTACTTGAAATAAAAGTTAAGACCAACTTCACAATAAACACAAGACAAACTGGGTAGGGACAAATTTACCCAAATGTTTATCTTAAAGCAATGATTTAAATTACTTTTTGGCCCAGTAGAAATTTTTAAAATTCTGAAAAATGTTCCATCTAGGAGGAGACTTAAAAACAAACAAATAACAGATATATGTTTAACTTCTGAACTGAATTCATGAACTTTGATAGCCTATTTTCGTTGAATTTACACTTCCCAACATTGCCCAGATAAAATGATAGCGGGGCTGCAACATCATTTTTATTTGTTCCGCTATCTGAACAGAACCACTAATGGTTAAAAGGAGCTGTTCAGTAAATGTAAAAAAAAAAATATATACTGTCAATTATCTGAAATGGGGCTGCTCAGTGTGACAGTGCGTAGCACTGCTGCCTTGCAGCAAGAAAGTTAGATGGAGTTTGCACGTTCTCCCTGTGCATGCGTGGGTTCTTTCCGGGTACGAACGGCTTCCTCCCACAGTATAAAAACATGACTGTTAAGTTAATAGGCTTCTCTAAATTCTCCTTAGGTGTGAGTGTGTGTGTGAAAGGTTGTTTGTCCTGTTTGTCTCCATGTTGCCCTTGGATGGACTGGCGACCTGTCCAGTGCGTACCCCGCCTCTCGCCCATTGACTGATGGAGATAGGCACCAGCACCCCTCGCGACCCCCGCTGAGATAAGCGTGATGAAAAATGGATGGATGGATGAATAGGGGTTACAAAAATAGATCTTATTTATGACTTGGTAACAATTAAGAGATATGAATGAGTGATTTAAGACATTTTAAAACCCATTAAGGTGTTAGTTTTATATTAAAGAATTCAATCCTTTTAAGACTTTTTTAGGATCCGCAGGAACCATGATTCATTTTTCACTTTAATGAGATGGTCCTTTAAATACTACACATTCAGGTTTTATATGTTGTTGTTTTTTTCCTCTTTTAAATAGTATAGTATGTTGTTTTTTTTCTCCTGGCCTGCTTTATTTTAGATGAATTTATAAATATTTTAATAGCTTAAATAACACTTATCCTCGAGTTGGAGCAGCAAATTCTGTCTTACGGAAACACTAATTGGAACAATCTTATCTGTCCTCACTAATAAACACAGAAAGATTGACTGCAGTGTCTCTCAGGACACTAGAGACAAACTTTGATGAAACTGTTAAGTGGGACATAATCCTAATATGGATGTAGATTGATTTTGCTCTGAAATTGGGCCTCTCTTTGATATTATATTCTTACCCGACTCAGACTGGTATCAGGGGCAATTAATGGGATGCATTAATTTGGGATGTCAGATCAGGACATCCCAAATTAATGCAGTTTAGTCAGGTAATAGAAATTTGTTTAGCCTATTTTCACAACTAACACATTTTCCACCAATCCTCTTGGGTGCAACATTATAAGATGCATATATTTTCACATTGCTTTCTGAATAAGTAGCACAGCTGTGTCATTAGACAGCTGGCTTTAGATGCAGGGGGCAGCTGTGCAGAGGAACAAACCTTGGTGCTGCATCTGTGGAGGCCTGACAGACAGGAAGGGGTCTGGATGAGATATTTCATGTCCATCACTGGATCTGCTGCTGGATACTCCTCTGTCTGCTGCTGCATCAAATACACAAAATTTGGTGTTAATAGTTTACCGTTTCAGGGTCTTTAAGATGTTCCCACTGATCTTGTGACTCACATTCTCTCCGGGTTTTCACTGGCGTCATTCGAGATGAAATCTGCGCTCCAAACACCTCCTTGGTGATGAAACCATTTCCTTTTGGAGAGGAGGAGGAGGAGCTGCCAATCACTTGCATCTGGGGGAGAGTGCTGAGTACTTTAGGACTAAAATAAAAAGGGAAAAACAGGACAGCAGTCAATCTCAACAAGGGTGAGAAACTATTTGCCGGTATGTCACACAGTCAATAAGAGCTGAATGTATATAAAAAAAAAATAAGGATGGCTGCAATTATCTAGAAGATTAAAAGAAATTGACAGTAAAAAAAAAAAAATTATATATGCAGCTGAAAATGAAACATTTCATCATAAGATCTGATGTCAATGATAGAGATGCTCACCCATTCCTAGCCAGAGGAGAGGCCGTCTTGTTTTTGTCTGAACTGAGAAGTTTGGTTTTCATCTCATTGATTTCTGCTTCTTTAAACTGCAGCTCAGACTGCAGAGACTGAACCTGCATAGAGTAAACATACAATGGAGTAGCTGTGAAGTATGAACATGTCCATGTCCTTCACAAGAGTTACCTTCTTGTTAAGCTCCTTCTCCCGGTCACTGTGCTCCTTCTGCTTCTGAGTCTCCAATATAACCTGGTTCTGTCTTTCAGCTTCTTTCTCTTGTTGGGCCTCTTTTAGAGAGTCTCTTAGGACACGGATCTCACCACTCTTCAGTAGGATCTCATCCTCTACCTCCTTTAACTAATAACATACACAAAACTCATATTTAAAAAAACAGAGGACAGTGAAATGCTAAATATCTAAATTCTAGATATACTCGGGTGTTTAGCTACACCCTTTTTCAAAGAGCAGTTAACAAGTGTTACCTTTTAATATGCAAACTAGCTTCTCTGTGAAGCATTTTACCGATTTAATTCATATGAACTTTTGAAAAGCCCGTAATCTAAGAAAATAGATTGACCTAGCTATGCCATAATTTTCAGGCTTGCTTTATGATTCCAAAAAATAAAGAGAAAAAAAAAAATCAAGTTGTAACTAACAACATATACAGCAGTTAATAGAAACATTACAGTCAAGATGTTGCTATAGGAGACATTTGGTAAGATCAGAACGTCTAACCTTCCTCTTCAGCTCTGCATGCTGGGCCTCCAAACGCCTGTAGGAGTCATCTCTGCCTGACCCAAACTGCTGCTGCAGGTTACCTGAACACAAATAAGACCCCGCTTCATCCACTTGTGCGACAAAAAAATTAATACAGGAAAAATGTATTTGACTTTTATGCTCTTTCCTTATGCAGACTGCAGCTGTTCATGGGTGGCTTAACATGGTGGTCAGCATCCTGAAGGTCCAGAGGCACAATCGGCTCTTTGGACCATCTTTAATGGATCTTGATAACTTAATAACTGACTACAAATGATAAAAAATGTTTTTTTAGGTTTAATTGGGTTTTCAGTTTTATATATGGGATTATCAACCTCCATTTGAAGAGAATGTTTATTTTATTTCCATTTTAAAACCTAAAGATACAAAAAATAATAACAATATGGCTTCTATAAAAATGTCAAAATTTAATAGGAAAATGTGTTTACTATTTAAAAAAAAAATCTATAATATGGGTGATAACTAGAGCAGCTTTTCTTTTTATTTTTTTTACTTACTTTATATGGAGTGGCTCCTAAGACATAAAGCTGGACTGTGGGCAGAAAAACCTCTTTGGATTATAAAGGTTGAAGACTGCTGTCTTAGCATCACTCCATCTACTGTTTGATTATGATTTAATAATAGATAGAATTCTGATAGTTTTGTTCTTTTTAAATCTTACTTTTATATTCCCTTTACAATCTATGCTTACAGAGACAGGGAACGGAGATCAAAATAGCTAAAGTATGCAGAGGAAACAGGTTCAAATGAAAAGATTGTATGCAGTAAAAAAGAAGTGTAGTGAAAAAAAAATCCATCTATCTGGTCTGGTCATCTCTTTTTATTTTAGATTTTTAGGATTATTTTATTGACGATGTGAGAGTCTGTTTAAACCCAAATTATACCCGACTGTTGCGACTCAGAACTAATGTTTTCCTAAGTAGTTTATCTAATTAGGACAATTCCTTCTGTCACGATTAATAGTCTTCTCCATGATGCATGTGGCAAAAATCTGGGAATGGAATGAGAGCAGCGTCCTTGATCTGAGAACATGGTGTAATATTTTGATAAGGCTGGAGCCATGGATGTCTCCTCATCTGCAAAGGTTATGATGTAATGGCGTGGCATACTGGAGTGGCTTCTCCAATGAGATAAGAGCCTTTAAGCGCTGCCTTCTGTAACCCAAAGCAACTTCTCTGGTTGTCATGTCTTATGGTTATTTAATAAATATACGTTATGTAGTGTTATTTAAGGAGTTTGTCCCGAATGATCTCTTCTCAGGAAAAGAGCCGGAGAGAAAGCTTCAAGGTGTAAAAACACAAAGCTTTCCTTTACAAGGTAGATGATTACTTCTGCATGTAACTCACCAAGATTTTCCCTGCTGTGTCTTCCAGCATCTCCTCTGTATATCGCAGACTTGATCTCTTTACTCTGGTTGTTCTCAGATTTGTTTTGCCCTGGAGAGGATGGCCAAGTGGACCTTACCCCTTCATTGCTTGGCTTGGAAACTGGTTTAGACACTGCTACAGCTGATGTGAAGGCTTGGGAGGCGATGATGTCTAGTTCATTTAAGTCATCTTGGGTGAACTCCTCATCATCTCCAAACGGGTCATCAAAGGTAACTGGTGTCACAACATCCTGGTTTAGGCCTCGGAGACGCTTTGTGGGAGGGCCATTCATGCTGTGGGGAGAAAAGCAGCAGATGGGTTGATCAACTGGAGTCTGACTGAGTCTGCTAAATTTCATTATCTGTTGGTTTGCCTTGCTGTTGCTCTAAAAAACTTTCATTTATCAGTTGGATGCAAAAGTGTTTAAAAAAACGTGGATGGGGCACAAAGACCTTTCACTATAGATGTAAGCTCCTGAAAAATCTGTGTGTATGTACATTATATATACATAGACACATGAAGAATAATGAATTCTTCAATCATGAATGCAGTTTTGTTCACAATAAAAACCTGCGCAATAAGTCCTCTATAAAAGAGTCACTTGTATGCAAAATTATACCTTATAGTCAAAGGCGGCATTTAGGTTGTGAATACCAATACCATATTTACCTGGTAGAACTATCTGACCTTACTGCCCCCCCACCCCAACATATTGGGACTTCCACCTGAAATTAATACCTGTATTAATAACATCTTTCAAACAAAAAAAATCCTGGATCCAGATGGTAATCTGGATCACCACCAAAATTTAATGGATTGTTCCTTGAACTAAGGTGGACCTTTGGTAAAAATTGCTGCTATTGTTATGCTGTTCACAGACAGACAAACAAACTCTCCTAAAAATATAACTTCCTTGGCAGAGGTAAAAATAAAGGGTCAGGCAAACCTTTAAAAATAGAAACAAGTATATATTTTTATATAATACTATAACAATAATAACTTCATATATAGCATTTCCTAATAATATGTAGCTTTAACACTAGTAGCAACATACACCTGCCAAATGCTGTATTGAAGCTGCATATATACTGTTTAGAAAAGTATGTTTGTTTGTCTCATAATCTAATTTAGTTCTCTAAAATTTGAGTATTGGTCCATCATCATTGCTACAAAGACAGCAGTAGTTACAATAGCGTTTCTCTGCAGTCATATGTAACAATACATAGTATTAAGGTAATACAAAAGGAGTAGACTGGTTATAAAAAATGAACCTATTAAAACATCCCTCCCTTCCAACAAGATCACCATTCAAGGGCCTATTATCGCACAAAATCAACTTCGTCAGGCTTTTAACTTAGCTATAATTCTATTCTTTTACCAGAATCATGCATAAAGTGGCATTTCATTTGATTGATGCATATCTTGCTGTCTGAGCAGCAGCCTCTCCCTCACCTGTGAAAATGAGCAGCTAGAGAGTATCTGCACAGAGCTAGGCTCCCTCCAGGAAGCACCTACCTTAACTGATCTGTGCCAGCAGTCAAAACAAATTATCTCTTTCTCCCCATCATGTAGGGGTGATATGAGGTAGAGCGATTTCCTTTAAATGCAAGTGTTTTTCTTCAGGTTTGGAAGAGAACGACTATATTTTAAAACAAATAAGAAAACCAATGGAGTTCTAAAGGCATCATTTTGTTATGCATTTGCCTACAGCATGGTATAATAGAAGACAATATGCAGAAGAAATATTGTAACAAAATCCAAGATGAGAGTCTTCAAAGCTTTCATCTTATTATTGCATTCATTGCAATAAAATTCACTGTTTTTTTTAAGCAGTCTTAAAAAATTATCTTTTTCTTTGGAAGGCAAACCATATATGAGTTAAGTCTTGACTTTATGCTTTTTTATTAACAGCATAAGTAAACATAAAAAGAACTGATCTTTAACACAGATTGAAAATATTCAAATATTAACTTAGTGTCCAACAAAATATCAAAGGACAGATTTTGTTTTATACTTCAAGTCACATTCTAAGCACAAAAAGCTACACATTCATCTCAAATATCTTTGCATATCAACCAGTCTGTAGATGGGTTTTTTTGTGTGTCTGTTTTGACATCAAGCTCCATTAAAAATGTTGCCATCTTAGTAACTGAGAAACATATAATCTATCTTTAAGGAAAACTCATATCAGTTGTGTAGAAGTGCAGAATGTGGTGCTTGATGGGAAGTTATTCATACCGAAAACATATTCCTTAAACTATTAATAACGCCAGCTTTACATAAAGTCTTTAATCTAAACGGTAGACATCGAGTAGAACTTTCTTACTTTAGGCTGCCTAATATTAGTTGCCGGTCAGCTGAGGAAAAATTATCCTTTGTGTTAATTTTAAGCTAAGAAGGATGTGACGTCAAAATGAAGCAGCTCCCTACAGCGGGATGCGATTTATTTCAATTTAATTTACATTAAAATAAAATAAAACACACAAAAAACTATAAGAAACACGAGTTGAATAATGATGTTATGACTCTTTACCTCGTCTCTTGGTTTCACTATCCGTGCTGCTGCTGTGGCTCCTTGGAAGCTATTGCTAACTACCCAATGTGAGGTTAGCCTGCTAAGCTAACAAAGCTAGCTGGTAAATATCTTTCACCGCGTTATTCAACACAATATTATTATGGTCCGAGTTGTTTTAGTGCGACTTGCTACAGCGGTTGTTGTTGCAAGTTATGTCAAAAATAAGTTAATGAAACAGCAAAACTGAATAGAAACAAAAAGAAGACACGAGAGAAGTAATTATAATACCCGCCCCCGTAAATCTGACCAATCACGAACCAGTTGGACGATCTGACCAATCACTGACCTCCCTTCACTTGCGTTGGTCCTCTATAAAACCTGTACTGAAGGCAAACTATATTAAACGTGAAAAGAATAGAATAGAATAGAATAGAACAGAACAGAATAGAATAGAAATTAATTGCATAAAAGAGATTAGAATAGAATAGAATAGAATATATGGCAAGACCTACTCGGTTAACAACAAAAAACAATTTCCAAACAAGCAGGTCAAAGCCCAGTGATTAACCCATTTTCATTAACACATTTTCAAATGTGTTTACCACTCGTTTCAAAGCAGTTAATTAAAGTTTTTTCTTGATAAATAAACACCCGGGTCTTTGTCTAGTTGCCAAGGAACTAAACACTGTTTTCATAATCACAAACTTATTTTTCCCCATAAATATTATTTATGCATTTTAACAAGGGTGTAACTTTGCGGTGAAATTTGGTGGGGACACTCTTAGGGTGGAGGCTGATGGGCCTACAGTTATTCTACATAAACGCTTTCAAAAGGGTTTGTATTTTCCAAATATGAGCTCAAACATATATTTATTGAACGCTTTACTATTGTTGAGATCACAAAACAAGCAAAATACACTGATATTTATATTTATAGTTAGACATTAATGTATATTAAAAAAAAGGGATGAATAACAGCCGATTCCGATGTAAAACAGCAATGTCTCCCTACTATGTACACAAGTTCAGTTTCATTCATCCATCCATCAATCCATCCAGAAAAATGTGGATTCATTGATAGATATTTTTTCCTTTCAGCTACATTAGTGATTATCCTTCAAAACCAGCAAAATCAAATTTAGACATTTGTCTCACATATTGCCAAAGTCTATCTATTGAAATTATTGGTGGGGACTGTCCCAACCAGGCCAAAGTTGGTGGGGACATGTTCCTACAAGGCCATACTTTAGATCCAGTGTTTGTGGATCAGGTATTCTTTTTTTTTTTTTTTGCCTCTCTTGTTGAATGCTGTGAAATTGGAAGGATTCACAAATTGGAACAGATCGCGACAGAAAATCCTTTGTGCCTATACACCCATCAACACCTATAACTACTTGTTGAAAAACTGTCAATGAGTTACTGAAGCATTTAATTTCCCTTTGGGATTAATAGAGTCTTTATTAAATCTAATTGAATTGAATCTAAATTAAATGTTACAATGCAAAATGTAGCCTCATTGGGAAAAAAAGTACTTGTTTACAGAGGCTGGGTTATTTCAGAGCGATGGGCTTTAAGGGCACAAGTAAAACATTCCACTCAATGCAGCTTAGAACTGTTAGCCTATCCAAAATGCTATTGCAACAAAGTTAAAAAGAGAGGTTCTATTTCTTGTATTTTAGATTTGGCTCATTGGATTCCTAACTAGAACCTGAAATCATCTATAATAATCAGACTATATCATACATTGGAGATACAGCTGTTTAATTTATTCCTTACAGAGCACTTCACTCTACACTGTCAGTCCCTAGAGTATTTAAAAGTAGAATTGGTGGCAGATGTTTTAGTCTTCACACTCCTTTCTGGTTGTGCCAGATCCTGGATTTAGGACAGACACCTGGTCTAATTATAGAATTAATCTTTAAACCTTTCATTATAATAAAGCTTATTAAGGGGTTTAGGTTATTTTGAGCCATCTCTGTAGATATACTACAGCTGGTTTAGGCTGCTAAATCATACAAAAACTGTCAATTTGTGCATTTTTCAGTATCCCCTTACTGTTTTTCTTTTACAACTGGGATTCCTCTGATAAAAGCAGCAAACTTTTAACCAATCAGTCTGCATGATTTGCACAAATTGTCTCTCAATTTGAGCAGCATAAATAAACTGAATAATGTGATAATCTAAGAGTCATACATGGCTATAAATGCATTCGTTTACAGTCTATAACATGTCCTGAATAATTACCACATGATGAAAATAGAGACTTGTTAGCATAAAACCTTTCACACCTGAAAGGCGATTCTGATTGCATAACAATTTTTACGCTGTTCTTTTACATAATTTTGTGGCAACATTTGTTATAGAAAAAATTATGGATGTATTTATGTTAACATCAATATCTCAAGGGACAAGCCGGTTGGCCCCTATTGGGCTTTTATCTGTCCGGTTTACAAACAGTGGGTATTTCTTCATTTATATTCACTGTCCCTGTTTAGAATAAACCATTTGGAATTAGAATACAATATTTCTGAATTATATTGCAATTTATGTCACAATGTGGTGGTACAATATAAATTTGGATTAATTTTTCAACAGATGAGGCTGATCGAGTAAAGGATATCAGTGGGACATCTTGTCCAAAAGGCTTGGAAGCTTCTGATAATTACATAAGATTAAGTGACTCAAGATATTGGACTGAAGCTGCTTGATGGTAAGATGATGTTGCCAAAACATCTTTTTGAATATCATTTTTTAAATATCAAGAGTATGAAATGTAACAGTGAATGCATGTAAGTATGAATCTCTGTATGTACTAGCCTCATAGTGAGCGTTCTTGTGGCTTCTCAGCAACAGCAAGTGTGATTTCCATTTTTAGCCACAGACAGGTCTGTGTGTCGCAGCTGAGGCTCTACAGTAACTGTGTGTGTATGTGAGTGGGTAAAGCACACATGCTCACTCTCCATCTTTCTTTCTCTCCGCCCCCACACTTCAGTGCAAAAATGGCAGAGCTCAGCTACAGGCATCCAGATGCAACCGTCATCTTCCTCATCATCATGATCATCACCTGAGAGACCCGCATGCATACTAATACTACCGAAATCTGTCCTTTGACAGTGGTGATGATAAAGCTCCTGTTGAGGGCAAAACTGGTGCACAAAAAGAGAGTTTCCTCTATAGAAGACATTTCAATGAATTTACAAGCAACACACAATCAAAATCTTTTTTTCATGCAAGAATGTTACCATGACAACACAACAGTTACTGTAAAAGGCAGGGTCATTTAAAGAAATACAGATAAAATGAAGCCAATGTTCAAGTGGCATACAGGTGACTTTCCTCTGGTATCGATGTAGAAGATATTTTCAACTGGAACTTTGCAGCAGGAGCTGATAAAATAGATATTTGCAGAGAATATAGAAATAGTTCAAAATCTGCTAATCAAACCTATGCACGTTTACAGTAGTTTTGTCAAACAAGTGATGGCCTCCTAACCCAACCAAGATAGGTTTGGGTGGAGGGGGATTTGATGGACAAGCCAAATGCCAGTTATATTCTGGATAAACAAGGAGGGCTGTGTGTCACACTGTGTCAAGAACCTATTTTCAGGAGTTTGGGCATCTAGGAAGGTACTGTGTCATCCAAACATATTTGCACACCTTTAAATTTGTCACCTTATCTCATGTTATACATATATATATATACCGTATTTATATATATATATATATATATATATATATATATATATACACTCACCGGTCACTTTATTAGGTACACCTGTCCAACTGCTCGTTAACACTTAATTTCTAAGCAGCTAATCACATGGCGGCAACTCAGTGCATTTAGGCATGTAGACATGGTCAAGACAATCTCCTGCAGTTCAAACCGAGCATCAGTATGGGGAAGAAAGGTGATTTGAGTGACTTTGAACGTGGCATGATTGTTGGTGCCAGAAGGGCTGGTCTGAGTATTTCAGAAACTGCTGATCTACTGGGATTTTCATGCACAACCATCTTTAGGGTTTACAGAGAATGGTCCGAAAAAGAAAAAACATCCAGTGAGCGGCAGTTCTGTGGGCGGAAATTCCTTGTTGATGCCAGAGGTCAGAGGAGAATGGCCAGACTGGTTCGAGCTGATAGAAGGGCAACAGTGACTCAAATAAACACCCGTTACAACCAAGGTGGGCAGAAGAGCATCTCTGAACGCACAGTACGTCGAACTTTAAGGCAGATGAGCTAAAGCAGCAGAAGATCACACCGGGTGCCACTCCTTTCAGCTAAGAACAGGAAACTGAGGCTACAATTTGCACAAGCTCATCGAAATTGGACAATAGAAGATTGGAAAAACGTTGCCTGGTCTGATGAGTCTCGATTTCTGCTGCGACATTCGGATGGTAGGGTCAGAATTTGGCATCTACAACATGAAAGCATGGATCCATCCAGCCTTGTATCAATGGTTCAGGCTGGTGGTGGTGGTGACATGGTGTGGGGAATATTTTCTTGGCAGTCTTTGGGCCCCTTGGTACCAATTGAGCATCGTTGCAATGCCACAGCCTACCTGAGTATTGTTGCTGACCATGTCCATCCCTTTATGACCACAATGTACCCAACTTCTGATGGCTACTTTCAGCAGGATAATGCACCATGTCATAAAGCTGGAATCATCTCAGACTGGTTTCTTGAACATGACAATGAGTTCACTGTACTCAAACGGCCTCAACAGTCAGCAGATCTCAATCCAATAGAGCATCTTTGGGATGTGGTGGAACGGGAGATTCGCATCATGGATGTGCAGCCGACAAATCTGCGGCAACTGTGTGATGCCATCATGTCAATATGGACCAAACTCCCTGAGGAATGCTTCCAGCACCTTGTTGAATCTATGCCAAGAAGAATTGAGGCAGTTCTGAAGGCAAAAAGGGGTCCAACCCGTTACTAGCATGGGGTACCTAATAAAGTGGCCGGCGAGTGTATATATATATATATATATATATATATATATATATATATATATATATATATATATATATATATATATATATATACATACACTCACCGGCCACTTTATTAGGTACCCCATGCAAGTAATGGGTTGGACCCCCTTTTGCCTTCAGAACTGCCTCGGGTATTGGCATCTGTTTGCTGCATTCCTTTGCCATATGTTCCCTTCTGCAGTTCTGAGAGTTGACTTACTTCTTTCCATGTTGCCTTGATCAGTTTTCTCCTCCATGGTGGACATTGTCCACTGTGGACACTCTTAATGTTACCTTGGCCAAGCATTTCAAGGATCACTGACAGTATACTGTGTATAAGCTCATTTATTATGACGAGCAAAGCAGGGACTGTACTTAGACCTGCATTCATGTCATCCAGGAGATCATTTGGTAGCACTTTACTTAAATTTGCCAGGCCATGTCAGGGTAGACAAGTTCTCATTTTAGCCGTGATCTTATTTCTCTGGCGAGAGGTTCTCCCATTCAGTTTTTCTTGCATCATTTGAGCTTGTTATCTAATGTCAGGTGGCTTGATTATGGTCCCCCCCTTCTGACCTTGTGTCTTGGTTCCGCATTGATGTAGCCTGCATTTGTTACATCTCCTGCCACCCTAACTGTGAAAGCAACTGCCGTTTGAACTGGGAACATTGAGTTACTACTTGTTAGTTCAGACTGTGGGTATCAAGGGTTCCACAGTTTATATAACACTACTGGTTAGGGTTACTGGGGTAATAGCATCCCAATAGTGCCTTATGTTCTCATGTCCATTCTTATTATAATGCCATGGTCTGCAGGGCACATAGTTTTGGTTCCCAATCACTTCCACTTTGTTATTATTGCACTGACTGTTACTACAGTACAGGTATTACAGTACCAGGCTGGAATTCACTGAGCTCCTGAGGTAGATCCACTCTTTCACAAATGTTAGTTTATATAAATTAGATTAAACATTGCTAAAAAAAAACAACAACACCCCCCCCCCCCCCCCCCCCCAATGCTCTGGGACTTTTTTTCTTCAGACAGAACTACATTTTTTTGGGATGAAATTACAAACAATCATGCTGGAGCATAGCATTCAGTTTTGATCCCAAGCCTTTAGCTAAATACTAGAACACTGACAATTAAGAGCTTTTCTGCATCACAGTGAATTGAGTGTATGTCTTAATAAACAAAAGAATGAACAAATAAGAAAGCAATTTAAATCGCAATTCTCATTTCTTTTCAGAAAATCTGGTTCTACTGGAGAAGAGAGTGGGATGTTCTAACACTAGGATAATCATGACATCCATCATTGCAAGCTAGATTCAGTAAATACTGGAAATATTGACTTAAGCCCAATGTAGATAGTTTTTAATATTAGAAATTGGATTAGAATAATTATTTAGAATATCAAATTTAAAACACAGCACGAAAACAGTCACAATTACTTGACTACATCTCCCAGCATGCATCTGCTAGGGGGGATCCTGGCTGAACGGCTGGAAGATAAATAGTTTGATGGTGTGTTTCCCTTGCTACTGAGTGTAACACTGCAGTGGAGGCTGCCTCTTGCATGGAGCTTTGCTGAGGAGTTTCAGACACAGAGGAAAACCTCCACAAGGGGAGCAGTGCATGGGATTGGCTGATTACTCTACCAATCACACAGCATCCTTGCTGTGTGACTATGTGTTTCCCTCTCCATCTCTTAACGCAGTGTCAGCCTGCGCATATTTTTTTTATGACTGCAGCTCTCCCATGCATGTCGTGCCTCTGTTTGTGTGCATGTGCAGAATCCTCAAATTCTGAACAGTGAGTGAAGGGAATGGGGAAAAACCAGAAATGCTAAAGAAATAAATGGAAAGAGGAAAGAAAAAAGGGTGAAAAGAGGAGCTTCTGCTTGGATGTAGTCGTTGGGAGATAGATGCTGAGGACGGAACTGTATGGAAAGAGGCAATCTAAGGAGAGAGAGAGAGAAAGAAAGAGATTGTAAGGGGGAGGAAGAGGGGGAGGCAGAAGAGACGATCTGCTGAAGGGAAGCAGCAGATTTTTACAAGACCCTCGGCAGCTCCCTTCTGTTGCTGTGGAGATGGGCTGTTGGCTCTCTGGACCATGGATGGGTGACCAAACGGTATGTCATAAAAGACTTGTCAGCAGCTAGAAATTTAGCTCATTTCAATAATATGACATTGCGTTATCAGTTTTCTTGTGTAAATGTGTTTATCTGTGTTTAAGGATTTTCCAAATTAGGCATCAGGGTTGCTGCAGTATTCTTTATGTGAATGTGGGATTATCAAACATAATGCCAAATTGCTGATACTATTTCTTAAGTTATGTAAGATTTTGGTTCAGTTCTGTCATTGAAACGTGAAGAATTACCCTCATTCTGCTTCCATCCTCTCTCTTCATACACAGGTGCCATTTTGTGCTCCTTTGCTCACACTGTATACATTTTTGGTCGCCTATGCTTGTGTGTCTATGTCTTGCTGAATGTAGCAAAGGGTGACTCATGGTGTGCTGGAGTTAACAATACTATTCATGCGTCTAATTCGATGGCTACTGAGCTGCATGCACTTATATGTCAAGCAGGATGAGGTTTATCTTACTTCTCAAAGGTAACTCTCCTCACTGCAGACCTACAGAGACCTTGATCATATTTGTCCTGTTTGATCAACACAGTGTGGCTGCCCAGGTGTCACTAATCCAACCATCTGTCAAAAAGCAGGGGGAATCTTGCTGCCAGGTTGTGAATTATGATTTTGCCAGTTTGCAGCATGCACTGTTTTCAAACTATTAAGATATTGGGGGGAAAAAATATGAAGAAAAGATGATGGAATGCATACTGGCTTCAAAATGGCAGCATGCATTCCAAGGATCTGGCATAGATGGATGCTGGATTTTCAAAATCCATGTCTGAACTGAGATAATTCCTCAGTGATTCCCTCGATGCCACTGAGCAGCATCTGGTCATTAGTTAAGCTGCTCCACAACTCTGCTCCTAACAGTTGTTCCTGTGGTAAATTTGTTATGAATGCCACGTTGACATAATTCCAGTGAGAATAAAGAAAATAAAAACCCACAGAAGCCATAACATTATTGGAAGCTAAGTGGAGGATTAGGCAAACAGTCGTGGTAATTCCTTTTTTTGAAAAACGAATCAACCTTTTCTCATGCTTTTTCCTGTAATGTGCTGTTACGTGATCTACTGTATTCTTCCAGATTTTTGAGTTAAGAAAAAAGCTATTGCAGAAATCCAGGGTTTTTATTTATTTTCCCAATTTCTATGCACAAATGTTACATTCAGTAACAGCTGTATCAAACAGATGCACCAGAAACAAAGCCACACATGGGTGCATTGGTTCCCTCATTAAGTGGGGTCTTAATTACTTAACCTATAAAAGAAAGCCCCCCCACATGGACTGTTACATTTTGTACTGACCACAATACAGTCAAAACTGCGCAGGCCATTTGGACAGGTCAAATAGTGAAAGGCAAAATGATTCTTACTCTCACATTGTGATAGAACTGGAAATCACCTTATTAGGTGTGTTTGATAATAAACAGAGGAAAGGCCCAAAATGAGTCTTTCTGACTTTTTTTGCAAAGTCAATGGATCTTAAAATGATACTGAATTATATTGACTTTTTTCTTATTTAAACCTTTGGAAATCTAGAGTGTTCTTGCTTCTGGGATTGCAAAATAGGTTTTATAGTAGCTTCTCCCTTGTTAAATCCATAGATTAATCAAACTTACTTTATCAAAACCCAAGACGTATCATTAACTAATTTATAGAATCAAGAAAATCATTTACACGTTGCCAGACACCATATGAATTGTAAAGCATTGCCTAGAGTTAAATACAGTAAATGGAACATATTTGTTTGATTTATGGGTGTACCTTGTCACGTTACTTACTCATCATTTATGAAAACTGCATTTTGTTTGACTCATGCTTTAAATACAATTGTTACATAATATTTTAAGTGTTATAAAAACAAAAAGAACAGAAAACAATATTTTTAGGGGGCAAAAACCTTTTTCAGTATTTCTTGCAGAAGGAGCCAACCTGCACACGAGCAGTGTAATCATATTGCCGATGTTGTTCTGGTTTCTGTTCCACTTTATTTAACCTGTCATGTCAGAGCATCTGAATGAAAATGTAGTTTTGTGCTTATATCTAAAAATATATCTTTAAACAAACTATTTTATACTCTACGTGATATGATGGTGTGAAGATCAGTTATTTCTGTTATATAAAGCTCTGCTGGCTTGGCTAGGAGCTCAAAAAGACAGCACTTTAGATTGTAATCAGTGAGAAATAGGGTGTTTACTTGGCTATTTTTTGTATAATTGAAATTTCTATTGGTTTCCTTTCACTGCAGTATCTTAATTTTGTTTAATTTTATATTATCCTCTGATATTGTTCTATTTCTTACATCCAGTGATAAATTATGCATCTTCCTACTGTTAATATAATGTTTAAATGATATGCAACCTTTTTTGTTTTTAGACTCCATGTTTTTTCTGGAAACTCTGGCTTTTTCCCAAATTAAAATCCAAAAGCATACACATGGTGGCAGTTAACTACTGTGTGTGAGTTTGCAGGGTCATTTTTCCTCTATTATCCTTTGATACATTGCTAACCTTTGATATTCAATCTAAGATTTCTCTCGCTGGTTCATTGTGTCCGTTAACAACAAATTGTTTATAAAGTGGTCACTAATGTTTTTTAGTCTAACAGTTATTATTATGAAAAATTAAAATGAATGCTTTACAACAGGTATTTTACCTTTTTGATAGTAATTAAGTAAGTCCATACAGACTAAAGGTTGAATGTTTAATGGTAATTTTTAAACATAATGGATATTGTTTCTACATTAGATAATAGTAAAAATTATCCCAGATATAGTACTGTACTTCTAATTTTTAGCCTTTTAAATAATCACAAATGGTCTAAAAGCCAAAAATGTTTTTTTTGTGCAAAATGATATTGATAACTTGTATTTGGAAATTAAAAATAGTTAAATTAGTTCCTGATACTGAATCAAATTAAACAGTCTTTTAGTTAGGGATGGCAATTCCTGATACTTGATACTGATTCACTAACTGGTTTCTGGTCTACATGAATTGTTACTTCTAAGTCTAAGGTTGAATTTATTTCAAACCAGATTGTTTTGCTTTGTCTAAATCTAAGGTAAATATATATGTATGTCTTATTTAGTGGACTGAACACCCACTGGTATTTAAGACTGATCTATTTTTGGCCTCAGTTCTGAAATAAGCTCCTTCTCTCAGTAGGTACAGTAGTTAGTTTCTTTATATTGCTAAATAGCACTGGTTAATAGAAAGATGGTTGAGGTTGGGCTGCATGGTGATGCACTTTGTGGCATTGTCGACTTTCACTAACAGGGTTCTGGGTTCCATTGTTCAAGGATCTTTCTGCATAAAGGTTTGGCATGTTCTTTTTGTGCTTGTATGGATTCTTCCTTGGTCCAAAACCGTGACTGTTAGGTTGATTTTATGGGTGCCTGTTTGGCCATTTGTGTGAAAACCATTTTCTTACATTACCAGCAAGGTGAGGTCCGTTTTTTGTAAAGTCAGGACATTTATCTGGTTCCCACAAGCTATTTCGCAAAGGGTTATGTTTTAGGGCTAAGGTATGGATTGTGTTTATTTTAGGGTTAGTTCTGTGTTGGTATGGTGAAGGTTGGGTATCGGTCTGGGTGAGGTCATAAAGATAAACGCAATATGAATAGAAGTCAATGGAAAGCCCTCACAAGGTGTGCATAGTTTTATGTTGCCCTACAATGGACTGGTGACTTGTCCATAGCTCACCCATAGACTGCTTGAGATAGACACCATAACCCAATGACTGTCATGGAAAGTTAAGGTTGAAATATTGTTATGGAGTCATACAGCAGTAAATTACTGCTCTTTGTCTCATGTAGACACTGGGGGAAAAAATGATTTTTTTGATGTCCGTGATAAGTGCATAAATCGAGCTGTACAGAATTTTTAAAAAGAGATTTTCTCAGGTGTCACAAAAAACACATTTTCACATGCTGTGAACACATTTTCTTCCCCAATAAGCTTCATACATCCATTCAACTGAAGTCTGTAGTTGTCTGGATGGTCTGGCTGATGACTCTACCAAGGCTACATGTTGTTGCAGTATAGTTAGACCTCTACAGTGTGCCCTATTCCTCCGCCTACACAATTTGTTAGCTTTCTCTCTTTTGTAACAAACTTTCCAACTTATGTTACTCTATGTCTAATCTATATAACAAGACACTAATGCCTCCATTAGATTCCTGCAGTATCTTTTTGTGCAAAATAGTTCAAAATGCATTAAAAAGTTTCTCTATCAAAAATATCTGGAGCTAAAATTGAAAACAAAACATGAGGTTTTTTCATGTTTGTCTCTTGTAGAAATAAAAAAATGAAATGATCTTTTGGAAAAGAGCCAACTTTAATCAATATTAAAAGAAGCATATTATTGATCCCAAATCAGATTCAGAATCAGAAATACTTTAATAATCCCAGAGGGAAATTATCTGTTTGTTCTCTCAACTCAGATGAATGGGCGGAGTCTAGCACACCTTAGCCAGCGGGATGCTTTGAGGATTATTGCTGCAAGTCAGCGCCCCATTACCCTGCAGATCAAGGGCCAGAGGAGGCGGGGTAATGACGGAGACAGGGGCTCCTGGGAACCCCTACCACTTAACCTGCAGCATCTCAACCTACCTCTTCCTATGAGGGGGACAGGAATGAACACATCTAGCCCCTCCTATCCAGACAGGTAAACTCACAGAGACCAAAATGTGTGACGACTTTTGTCACCTGTATGTTAATAAACAAATGTCATAAAGAGCTGTTTTTGTTCTTTGAAAACCTTTATTTGAATGAGTTAAACCCACCAGTCATAATATTTTTGATCATTTGCTAAATTCTTCTCTAAAATATGTCATGTCTTTACACACAAACAAACACACACACAAAAAAAACTTCCAATTTGAAGGACTTCTTCAAATCTCGGCTAAACACTGTTAAAATAATAAAATGATAGGCTTGCATACTGTTTGATATCTATGATATATAAATTCCATTTCAAATTTTTAAATGTTTTTCTGTATATCATAAGCATAAAAAGAAAAAAAAAAAAAACTCTGCTCATACTTCAGACCAATGTCTATAAATTTAGTGTGCCCTTATGAGAAAAGTCAAATGAACATTTTATATATACACATTTTTTTTTCAAAAAATTCAGGTATTTTCTTAAGGGCTTCACTTCTATGAAATTCATAAAAGTGTAAAGTTTCTGAATTGAAAGACATGATTTTTAAGCTGTCTCACGTCTAAATTTTAATTCTTTTGTTTTCTTTCAGGCATTACTACAGTCACCTGTCTCTGCCACAGGATCACTGTGATGGAGGATGGTATAGCTATATGTCAAGCTCTCCACAGGACACCGTAGAAATCAACCATCAGGTGACACAAAAAAACCCCCCAAAAGAAATGAACATAAACACGAATACATGTCTGTTTGTTAATACTATCAGAAATCTAAAATAAAAACAGCACCTTGCAAACTTTATTTACACTGTTTGTAAATTTCCACACTCTTCTAACACTACTATCAACATGTTTAATTGGGATTTTGTAGGAAAGACCTAGACTAACACATAATACAGTAGTTGAGTGGAAGAAAGGTGATACATCCTTTTTTTTTTTTTTTTTTTTTTACAGTTTATTGAGCAGTAAAAATATAGCATATTAGTAAATATTTTATAGGAGTATATTTTGCTGGATTATAATGCTCTAGGTCTACTTGGCTGTGTCTGATATGGAACTCTGAGGGGCAACAGTGTGTAGTGTGTTTTTTGATTAACCTATTTGGTGAATTAAAAGCCATCAATGGCAGATGGGGAGCTTACAGCCAGCAGACAGTAAGATTAGAATAGCACTCTTTAAGTAACATACGTATTTTTTTTCATGTTCTGCTCTCCCTTAAACTTTCAGGATCTAGAACTCGCCAGTCGTCGACAAAAGAGGAAGAACTGTCTGTTGGGATGTTGCAATCCTGATTTAGATGAACCTACCACTTGCCACAGCCAGGTATCTACATTTTATTTAACAGGAGCAGTAATTCTGTCTGATAGTCCTTCTCAGCCACAAGATGGGAATCCAGTATTGCTCTAAAATTTATTTGATCAAACTTCAGTGAGAATTTAATATAATTCCACATACAAAGACTCAGTCTTAAACATTATGATTTGGAAAATATATTGAACGTAAAAGCAATGTTTACTCTCCTCTGTTTGACTATATGGGGTATAATCAATGCAAATGTTTTCATTTAGGTAAAACAAACAAAAATTTGACTTAGAAAGAAAAAAAATACATTTCAGGGACAGTATATCAAGGTTTGAAACTGAAGAACACAGAATAAGGGAGTCTACACTCGATGATTATTGTAGTCTTTTGAAGATTTTGCAGACTTTTTTTCATGCCAATTTGGCTGTTATGTCCTCAGTAATTGCTTTTACAATCTGTCATGCATAAAATAACTAAATAAAAACAGGATAGATAAATGAAAATAAAAATACTTTATCCAAAAATGTCTTATTGTATTTGGCAGCTTTTTGTTCCATAAACTCATTGGGTTTCTGCTGAGAAAATGTAATTTTTAAATAAAATGTAAAAGATAATTTTGGCTTCTGATTTTTCTGTTTGTGAACAATAATTTAGAATTAGCATCTTTTTTTTATTTGTAGACAGATGATGAGGACTTCATCCTGGAGAAGCCATTGGGTTTCATGCCCCTTCATCATGAGCTGGACAGTGGCCTGGGCTGGACCGATGGCTCCCTCCATCAAGGGGACCTCTCAGGACTGGAGACAGAGGAAGGAGGTCTGGAAGACTGTCATCCACATGGGAACTTTCCCACTGGAGGGTGTGGTGGGTTTGGAGGTGGGGGATCTCCATCCTCAGAGTCTTTTATTTCCTCCGAGCTCAGCGACTCAGGCTTTTATAGTGTAAGCACTGGGGAGTTCAGGCACTTCCAAAGGCTCCTAGAGAAGAGGATGCGTCTGTACAATGCCAGGATGCAGCATCAGAGTGAGCAATGCGAGAGGCGAGAGAGACGTGACAGCTGCCCCAAGAGCCACCGAGAGCTGCTCGAGTCCATACCAGAAGCCTTGACAATGCAGCCCCCATGTCAGCACCTACAACATGAAGATGGAGCCGGGCCGGTCATGGATGTCCAACCTCGTGGACTTTTCAGGTAATTTTGAAAAAAAAACAAACTTTCCTTGATCAGTTGAATTGATTTTTTTTTACACTGGTTGAATTTGATTTTACTTTTAGTTGTGAGAAAAAAAATCACTTGATATTTACTACAAGAGCACCGGATATATTTTATGACCCTAACAAGGCCCATGTCAAGCAAGTCCTCTACTAAGAGTTATAGATATATTTTGGCCAATGGAGTGGAATGTCCGAACATGGCAGCTATCTTACAAAAGTCAACTCGCTATCTAATGGTGATGTACTTTTTGAATAATCATAAGTTGCTCTTTAAACAAACCAAAGCAATGGCATATCATGTGCAGATTAAATTTAAATGGAAAGGGAGGGCAATTTTCCCTTTACCAGAGATGTAAAATTCCTGAAGAAAAAAAATTGTTTTTATACAGACATATAAACATACACTATATTGCCAAAAGTATTTGCTCACCCATCCAAATTATTGGAATCAGGTGTTCCAATCACTTCCATGGCCACAGGTGTATAAATTCAAGCACCTAGGCATGCAGACTGTTTTTACAAACATTTGTGAAAGAATGGGTCGCTCTCAGGAGCTCAGTGAATTCCAGCGTGGAACTGTGATAGGATGCCACCTGTGCAACAAATCCAGTCGTGAAATTTCCTCGCTCCTAAATATTCCACAGTCAACTGTCAGCTGTATTATAAGAAAATGGAAGTGTTTGGGAACGACAGCAACTCAGCCACGAAGTGGTAGGCCACGTAAACTGACGGAGCGGGGTCAGCGGATGCTGACGCGCATAGTGCGAAGAGGTCGCCAACTTTCTGCAGAGTCAATCACTACAGACCTCCAAACTTCATGTGGCCTTCAGATTAGCTCAAGAACAGTGCGCAGAGAGCTTCATGGAATGGGTTTCCATGGTCGAGCAGCTGCATCCAAGCCATACATCACCAAGTGCAATACAAAGCGTCGGATGCGGTGGTGTAAAGCACGCCGCCACTGGACTCTAGAGCAGTGGAGACGCGTTCTCTGGAGTGACGAATCGCGCTTCTCCATCTGGCAATCTGATGGACGGGTCTGGGTTTGGCGGTTGCCAGGAGAACGGTACTTGTCTGACTGCATTGTGCCAAGTGTAAAGTTTGGTGGAGGGGGGATTATGGTGTGGGGTTGTTTTTCAGGAGCTGGGCTTGGCCCCTTAGTTCCAGTGAAAGGAACTCTGAATGCTTCAGCATACCAAGACATTTTGGACAATTCCATGCTCCCAACTTTGTGGGAACAGTTTGGAGCTGGCCCCTTCCTCTTCCAACATGACTGTGCACCAGTGCACAAAGCAAGGTCCATAAAGACATGGATGACAGAGTCTGGTGTGGATGAACTTGACTGGCCTGCACAGAGTCCTGACCTCAACCCGATAGAACACCTTTGGGATGAATTAGAGCGGAGACTGAGAGCCAGGCCTTCTCGTCCAACATCAGTGTGCGACCTCACAAATGCGCTTCTGGAAGAATGGTCAAAAATTCCCATAAACACACTCCTAAACCTTGTGGACAGCCTTCCCAGAAGAGTTGAAGCTGTTCTAGCTGCAAAGGGTGGACCGACGTCATATTGAACCCTATGGATTAGGAACAGGATGTCACTTAAGCTCATATGTGAGTCAAGGCAGGTGAGCAAATACTTTTGGCAATATAGTGTAGGTCAGAATAAGAGCATATACAGACCAGTAAATTGAGAGCTTTGCATTTTGGAGACTGGAGCAGCGTTCACAATATGGCAGAGGCTGCAGTGATCTGTCTGCTGATCTCCTGCTCCATTCTCCCCTCGTTCATGAATAGGACCCCAAGTTGCTTGAACTCCTGCTCTTTAGGCTGGGGCTCTCCTCCTACCTGATGAGGGAGAGCAAACGTTTTACGGTTGAGAACCATGGACTTTGTCTTCGAGGAGTTTATCTTCCCCATGGGTGCTTCACACTCTGTCTTGGTAGGAAGAAGCCAGCAGAACCATGTCACCTGCAAAAGTAGGGATTATATTCACTGGTCTCTAAACCAGACCCCCTGGGAGCCTAGGCTACCCCTACAAATCCTGTCCATAATGGTTAAGAGGGACTATAGAAAGTAGCCTTGCCTGATTCCAGAATGCAATGGAATAGGTCCAATTTAATGTCAGCAATGAGGACCAGGCTCCCTTTCCACTTGTACAGTGACTGGATGGTCCCTAGTAAAAAATGATACCCAGTAAAGGGGTTATCCAGCCATACATTTGGAGCACCTACCCCAAAAGGCACCAAATAGGACATGGTCAAATGCCTTCTCCAGGTCCACAAAGAACATGTGGACTGGTTGGGCAAACTCCTATTATCCATTGAGTACCTTGCAGAGGGTGTCAACTTTATATAATTTTCCATGGCCAGGATGAAAACGATTCTGCTCATCCTAAAACCTCTCCACAATTCTTGGATGAGTCTTACAAGCTCCCCTAGACTGCTGGAAACAGCATTAGCAAAGCACTACTTCCTCCTCCAGGGTATTTGTTTTTCCTCCAAACATTATTCATTTCATATTGTTTAAGTTTCATTATACCATAGGACATGCCAAACAAAACAAACAAAAGACAATTAGTAATCAGTCTTTTTGGTTTTATTTTTAGAAACTTGCTTCTTCCTTGCTGACCAGTGTTTCAGAATATGTTGTTTCAGAAAGAAAAACAACTGGAAAAATCTGACCTTTTGAGCTTTATAAGCATCTGCATGTTTCATCTAATCTCTTAGTCTGTTTTAACTTAACATCACACAGAATTCCCCAAGTTGTTTAAAGCAATAAATCTTAGTGCATGTAAACTTTTCAATTTAGATAAAGTAATTAAACAATTTAGTCAATAAAAAAAAACTGCAAATACAAATACTTTTTTTTTATCTGATAAGAAAAGGTGTTGTGATTTAAAAACTGACAATAAAAGGAAATAATTGTCATGTGTCTTTTCATACTGTGTTAACATGTGGTTTCAGCTAGCATATTTCTTGTATTTTACTTCCAGGGTTTCTTCAGTCCAGTTTCATAAAGCTGACCGACCATGTCTGAACCGTCACAGCTCCAGCAGCGGAGCCCTCTTCAACCCCTCCCACGCTGCAGTACCACGGATTAATGCTCCGGTCCTCTCAACCTGCAGCACGCCCTCCAGTCATCGAAGACCACATATTCCGATGCAGCCACAGTACAGCCACCAGGGTTCAAGCTCAGTAGGGATGTTGAGGAGAAGCCGAACCCTTCACCATCGACCTCCTCCACAGGAATACCGACGTCGGGCCAGCCACCCAGCATCACCTTCTTATTGTGCTGCTACGCTTCACTACTGTGGAGGTGTCACGCCACACAATGTCCTTCCACCAGGCCTGCCAGAGGAAACTGAGCTAGATGCTGGTGTGATGGCCTCCCACTCTACAGGCATGACCCTATCACCCCAACAACACCCGGCTGCTCTTGGGCATGTCAGAGGCAACAGCAGCAATGAACGATGCTACGACAACTCAAGTGGCCAGATCACTCAAAATGACTGGTGGCACACACAAGACAGGGACCCAATGCCAGAGCCGATGGCAGAAAGAGAAAGGGAGATGGAGAGGGAACTGGAACAAAAGAGACAATTGCAAAAGGAAAAGGAGATAGAGAGGGAGAGAGAGAGGGAGCGAGAGATTGAAAGAGAGAGGGAGAGAGAAAGGGAGATGAAGCTTCAGGAGGAGAAGGAAAGAGAAAGGCAACTGGAACTAGAAATGAGCAGAGCTAGAGAGCAGCAATACCTCCAGAGTCATGTTCTCCCATCCCAGCCAGGAGACGTCAATGATACCTGGCCAAAACCAGCCAGTCGTCAGTCTTATGGAGCTGGAGGAGGTAGAGGTCTCTATAGCACTTTGGAGGGCCACACAGGAATGGGTAATGCTGCTGAATGTGAGGCAAAGAACGGACAGATAAATGAAAATCCCAGTTCTAATCCCAGTTCTGGTCATCAGCCAAAACCTAATCAAAGCTCTAGACCCAACACCACGTCACGAGTCACAAGAAGCCAGTTGCTCAGAGACCGAGCACATCAGCTGGCAGACGAACGAAGTGGAATGAGCACAGATGAAGAGACCAACACTGACATGCTGCTGGGGCGCTACTGGAGTCGAACAGAGAGAAGAGAACATTTTTTGTTGGCCAGGGAGCAAAAGCAGCAACAATTGCTGGCCAGAGGAGGGCCTGTACGTGATGCTGTGAGCAGGGGAGGAGCATCTGCTGGAGAAGGAAGCTTAATGGAGAGCAGGGGAGTCGGACCTTTTGCTGAAAGACGATGCAAAACCGTCCTTGAGTTGAGTCAACGTAAGCTGAGTCGTCTGAGGAACAGAAAGCTGTTAGATGACTGGACAACTGTAGAGGAGCTTCTGACTCATGGGACCAGGTTGGATAACCAGGAGGAGATGATATGTCCAAGCTCCCTGTTGACAGTGACCACTGTCTAACTGCATGTGTACAATGTCTAATTGAAACTCTGTGTGAGCATACATGATCTTAAACTAACACTATAACATTGTCTGAATCGTCTTGTTCTGTCTTTCTTAGAGATGGATGAACAGATGGATGTCAGCTAAGTAGGCATCTAAAAGTCAGTTCTGTCAAAGTTTGGATAAAAACAAACAATGTGAGAAGAAAATCAGCAGTGGCAGCTCTCCCAACAAAACTTCAACTTTCTTGGGTTCCTCATAAAACTTCAATTAGATATCCAGCCAGCCTTGGTTAGATCACATCTGCTTTGCTTTAGCTATGACATTTTTTTCTAAAAGCCCCATTAGAACGGACAGCAGTAGAGTATCTGGTAATTGTGACATGGTTCATTGCCCAGGCAGTGTGCGGATGCGGTGGGGCTGATGAGTTGTGTCGGGTCAGGAGCACTTCACATAAGCAGCATGTCTGTGGCATTCAAACCAGTTCTGTATTGATTTTTGCATGCACAGTCAATGGGCAGCACAATGCTAGGCGGCGTCAAATTCCAGCCTTTAACTTTAGAGCTAAATTAAATGGCTATTCCTTTGTGTTTGATCAAGTTTTGTAAAAAATAAATTTATAGGCCAAATCTGTAATGTATATAATGATAAAATGTGAGCTATATTATTCTACAACGATTACAGACTCTCTAAAATACAGTTTGCAGAAAGTTTATTTCATTTATGAAAATGCATAAAATAGCTTGCAGTCTATTACACAAAGGAGTAAAACTAAACATGTATATCCGACATTGGGATTTTATGTGAGGTGCAGATGGAAAGGCTTGCCCGAGACTCAATTCATTCTAGAATCGTCTGACTTTATCCACAGATTGACACGTATTACTGTTCCCCTGTTGTTCTTAGCATATTATTAAGTGCGAGTTGTAATTAAAGTCTTTTAGGACTTCATTTGTTATTAATATCTGAAGTTCAAAGACAAAACTGACATCCATTCTCTAATTTCTCTGTGGAAGAAAGAACAAGAACATTCCCACAATAGTTGCATTGTTGTTTTAACAAATATGCCTGGAATGGGAAACTTCACTCTCATTGCTTTGCATCACCTCAAATGATAGCTTTATGTGTGGGTGTGTGACCACTGTACAGCACTCCGGACCAAACGTGTGAGTCAGTGCATGACGATTGAAATGCTAAACAAATGAGCAAGGTCTGATAACCTTGTATGTGTTTGCACCATGTGATTCATGCTACACACAACACAGTATATTTCACACAATCTTTAAAATAATTACAGATATTTGGGTTTGGATCTCCAAGAGGGGATCAAATATTTTCAGGAGCAATATTGCTGTGCTAGATATTAGTTCTTGTCACACATTCCTCTCACGCATATTTAAAAAAGACAAAAATCAGTTACAGCAATGCTAGGCAACGTGAGTTTTGATACAAAATCTCAAACTTATCTTTTTTTTAACTTATTTAATGAAACCATATTTAAGAAAAGGAGTCTACATAGGTTTGTTCAAACACAAATGAATACATATGCTGCAATCTTTAGGAGGTTTTTTTATGCTGCATTTATGTAACACTGTTGATGCCAAAACAAAGATACAGTATGTAATACAAAGCTGTATGCATCTGATTGTAAAAAAAATCTATTTTAAGAAAAGTTTTAGATGATTTAGAGTAAAAAAAAGCAAAGACAAAAAACAGTGGTAAATTGGTCCTCATTTCTACTTATCTCTAATTAGAGTCTTCTGTTAGGACTGCTATAAATATGAAGGGATTTACAGCGACTACACTATTAGTAGCTTTAATTCCTAATATGATAATTACAGTAACTTGTCTACTGCTGTTCCTACTATTTTCAATTACATTCTGCATTTACCACTTAGACCTGACTGGGAGAACTAAAGTATACACTGATATTTTATTAGCTATTTATGCTTTAATACAGAACACTTTGGTTAGAGACATGAATGCAGCATAGAATAATCAATCCACCATACAGTAGCTTACAGCTCTCCTTTCCTGCCAGGGATTTTACAATCGGCAGGATGTTTACAGTTCTACGCATAAAGCAGTTTATGCATGTTTACTCCAATTCAGAGTGGCAAGTTGACTGCAGAGAAAAGGTTTTCAAGTAATGACAGGAGAACTTTGATAAACCATGTATATCAGGGACGTGCTGAAATCCGCAACGTCCGTTCTGCAGGTAGAGCTCAAGAGACATTCCACTTCAAGCTTGTGACAGGTCCGCAGTTCAGGAACAAGTGCAATAATACCTCAAGTTAGTTTTATCAAGGTAAAATAAGGTGTAAGATTTTCAGTGAATGCAGAAACTGGTTTTAAATAATAACAGATGCACAAAGTGACAAGACACCACAAGTGCACAGTAATCTTGGAGTCTGCAGCGTCAACAGCAACAGTTATAGAGATATTTACAGTGTTTTCCATGAGAGGGACCTAAGAAGAAAAAAACTTTTTGCACATCCTTTTTATATAAAAAGTTTCCCCTACCTTTCTGTACCAGGGACTTAGGCCAGTGGAACAACTGTAGATAGAACAACAGTGTTTTTTGATGTTATCTTTATAAAACTGTCATAGTATTTCATGGAGGAAAAAAGTAGTTTATTGTGATTGTGTTGGACATATTTCAATATTTTCTTGTGACGGTTTCAAAACCAACATGGACGATTTTAATGATCTTCAAATCCTTCGATTCTAGTTAAGTCATGTAAAAGCTAGTGAGGTTTTCTTTTGCTTTTCTTATGGAGAGAACACACTATATAAATATTATTGTCTCTAAATAGATTTTTGAAATAAGATTTACTGTTGTTTTGTGTCATTCTGACATGTACATATTGATTTTGTCACACAGTGCGGCTGAGTGCGATGAGGGGATGATGGTGCCATCTGATGCCTCCAGTGGTTTTTCATGTAATTCTGTAGATTTATAGCTGTGTTATAGGAGGCTGTATATACAGCACAGAGAAGAAACTTGTATCATCAAAATATTTCAAACAACACGTCATTGTTCATACATGATTTTTCTGTTAGTTTTGAAAATGAAGAGTGCTATCCACACATTATATTATATGAAGAGAACCTCTAGTTTATTATTATTATTTGGAAATTTTTTTTTGCATCTGGCTGTTTGGAATGAGGTCGACCCAGATATTAACTATTTTATGATAAAAAAAAGTGATGGAAACAACAATTTAGAATGATGCCCTCTTGCCCTTTCTTGTTTATGATTTTGAAAATATCACCGATTGCATAATAAAACTGATGATTTAAAAACATATCCCAGGTTACACAGACTTTGGATATGCTTTTTTTTTCTTTGGCTGAAAAATTTGTCAGAAATGTGCAAGTGGACTCCATTTTTATTATATTTTAAGTTACATCAGTTGTTTTTGTTATCAACTTTGGCTTTAGAAAGCGAAATTGCTCCACTCCGTGGTAGTTGCTGATGTAAAAATGTTCAAACTGATTATTTTTTCTCATTCGTTACATAATCAGTAAAAAAAGAACTACTGACAAACTAGTTTATGCAGTGTAAAGCTCTAACCTATTTTCTCTCTTTAAAATATTCACTCATTTAAATATGTTACTATAAAGAAAAGAGGCAGATATTTTGTAATGGTTCAAAATTGTCATTTGGTAGGTTTAGATTTGCAGTTATGTTTAATTTTGACCTAAATATTTCTCAGCCATTAAACACTGAAGGCAGACATCAGTCGCATTGATTAAGAAGTTTTATGTTAAACACAAATTCTTGTTTACATGTCAATTATCTTTTCCCCCCAGAATCCCAGTATCAAATAATTTTGAAAAATTTCCATGCCATTTCTAATCAGAAACACGTGTCTTATTTAAATGAAAATCATTTGAAATGCAAATACATAATCAATGATGATGTAAAGTCATATTTAGTATTTGCTTCTAGTTAAAGATTTTCTACTTAAAACTAGTGAAAATTTCACAGTCAGAATTAATAGTTTAGATGAGACCAATAAAACTGCTTTTTTAAAAAGGTTATTATTTTGAAAAGGTCCCTTAACCTAAAAAAAAAAGAAAAAAAGAAGCCTACTCATGTTCTAATTAATTGATGAGGATTTCATATTTTGGTTCAGAAATATCCAACCCTTCATTATAAATAATGTGTCATAAATTCCCAGGATGAGTCTGCATAAAACATGACTACCTTTTAAATAAATTAACCACTGCATTCAGAAAAACCCCAGGTAAAACATTGGCACAAAATCCTTAAAATAAATTGTTATGAAGATGTGTGATCTATGCTGCTGTTTTAATACTAAATTTAATACTGAATTTATACTAATTGATCTCCTCCACCATTCTCATGACTATGTGATGTGGAAAGCTAAAATTGGATCCTCTCCCAGCCTATTGTGTAACCTGTTAGCAAGTAGCTAATTTCTTGTAGCCATTTTCTAACTTAAAGATAAAAATATTGTAAAGATTGCAACATCTGGCTGGCTTGGATGGGGTTTCTTTCCAAATCCAGGCAGATAATTGCAATAATCGACAAGAATTGGGACGCTGATGTTAATTTATTAGAAAAACAAATGCATTTTTTTTTTTATTTTTCCTAAATAAAATTTTCCTCAAGTTAAAGATTTGATTTAGTCTCAATTAGATAAAATGATGCTGCTGAACTAAAATATATATTATTTTGAGGATTTTAACTAATTGTCACCTCAGGGGATAGTAAACGTGTAGAGAATGGGTTGTTTGAAACTGAAAAAAAAAAAAAAATCACCATGATAGCATGTCGGACTAACAGTGGCACCAGATTAATTTATTATGTATTCTGGATTGAGTCAATTTAGTTAAACTTTGCATTTCTTTCAGCCTTTGTATATATGATCTCTTTTTGGATTGCATTAAAATTTGATAGGTTTGACCTAAGGTAAACAGAGAACATGGTGGTTAAGCAACAGAATACTTGGACTTTATTTCTATATTCCTCTCTCTAACTCTCTCGGTTGTGATTCAAGCAGTCTGAATAATGGATGACGAAGAGAGAAATTTTCCCTGCCGCCCACCCCCCCTCACCCTCTTTGCTTACGTTACACGAGGACACAGATGGCTGAAAATAGCGCCTCTGTCCTCATTGGATGTGAAATTAAAAGCACACTCGAGCGGAGACACTTGCTGCTGGTGAACAAAAAACACTTGTTCTACTCCATCTGACAATCCCTCCATCCAGCCTGCAATACCAAAAACATCTGTCTGTGTAGGATACATGTACTTTTCACTATGGCAAGCTTTTTGAAATATGATGATGTACATGTGATTGTAATAAAGAGATTTTAATTAGCTATGACACTGTTTTCAGGTTTATTTTTATATTAAATTCACTCATACATCTAAGCCCTAAATCATAATCATTTGAGATTAAGGTTTTAAATAATCTAAGATATTTAGCATCTTTCTTCTGACTTGAATGTGTTGAAGCTCTATGGTTGAAGTTACAGTAAGATGGTTGGAGTTAAGGCTGGGAAATAGCAGGGATGCCTTTTAAGATAAATATCATTGGAAAAGGCAAATACATAAAGATGATCAATAATAATTTTTTGATGGCTGGTTCCAGAAAAAGGGCCAACAGCGGCCAATGCTCCTCCAGGAACTGGCTTTAGAACCTATTATGACTCCTGTACTAAAGATATACTTATTATACAAAAAAAAATAAAAAATAAAAAATGAATGATTGTATGCATTGGAACAGTAATAGGGCCCTAGAAACCATTTAACATATTTTTATTTAATGTTCTGTTTTAATTGTGAATTAAAATGGCAGAGAGGTTTACAGTTTTAATCTGCTTAAGGTTATTTTGAACCAGACTAAAAACATAACAAAAAAAAAGTTTAAGCTGAATTGATCAGTTTTATTTCAGTTCTTATTCTAAATTGGTTAAATGAGGGAATTTTCTTTCGAAATAAGTCAGAAATATGCTATATTTGTAAATGATTAATATACAATGCCCTAATATTAGAAATAACTGCTTTATTTGATCTTTTTGTTGTTGTTTTTTTTTCTTTTTTACCAACTTATTATTTTAGTTGCATTTTTTTACGGTACGTTTTTTTTTTTAACCAAGTAAAATGAACAGTTTCTCAACAAAAAGCAAAATTTTCTAACAAAAAATGTGATTAAACTAAATCATGTGAACATATGACTTCATTCAGAGCAGAGCCACTAGTAGCTCCTTTTTTCTGTGGTCTCTTAATCTATTTTAAATGATGAATTATTGCTCTGTTTTATTTTTCTTTTATGTTTTTCTGTGCTCCCATGATAACATGCTGGCCCAATACTGGCCCTATTTGGTCTAGAACAGCCACTGATGGTTTATATCATATTTTTTAGAATAATTTCTTTAAAAAAAAAAAAAAAATCATGAGAGGTGCCTCATAGGTATCATATCAGAGGGAATAGATGGATGAAAATAATTTCAAAGATAAATCTTCAGTAGGTATAAATCCTTTTGGATTTGACCCTCCCATTAGGTGACATTTTTTAAACTAAAACACAGAAATACTAGGTGTTATATTCAACCTATTTCTGTCTGTAGAATCTGTAGTCTGAAGGATTTTCTACTTTCTTATCGAACAAATAAATTCCCTCATTTAAAGAAGCAAGATATTTTTAGTACATTTCTCAGATTAAGTTTTATTTTTCATCTTTATAAGAGGAGGATTCAGCTTGCTTAATATATGAGTGGCCTGCTGATCCAAAGAAACGAGAGTAAATTAGATGCAAACATTATTCCTAACTGCAGGGTTTTTTTTTTTTCTGAGGAGAATCTGAGCAGGGCTAACATCTCTTCTCAACAATCCACATGAGTAAATTACAGGTGCTGGTCATAAAATTAGAATATCATGAAAAAGTAGATTGATTTCAGTAATTCCATTTAAAAAGTGAAACTTGTATATTATATTCATACATTACATACAAACTCATATATTTCAGATGTTTATTTTGTTTAATTTTGATGATTACAAATGACAACAAATGAAAATCTCAAATTCATCATATCAGAAAATTAGAATATTACTGAAGACCAATAAAAACAAAGGATTTATAGAAATGTTGGCCAACTGAAAAGTATGAACATGAAAAGTATGAGCATGTACAGCACTCAGTATTTAGTTGGGCCTCCTTTGGCCTGTATTACTGCAGCAATGCGGCGTGGCATGGAGTCGATCAGTCTGTGGCACTGCTCAGGTGTTATGATAGCCCAGGTTGCTCTAATAGTGGCTTTTAGCTCTTCTGAATTGTTGGGTCTGGTGTATTGCATCTTCTTCTTCACAATACCCCATAGATTTTCTATGGGGTTAAGGTCAGGAGAGTTTGCTGGCCAATTAAGAACAGGGATACCATGGTCCTTCAACCAGGTACTGGTAGCTTTGGCACTGTGTGCAGGTGCCAAGTCCTGTTGGAAAATGAAATCTGCATCTCCAAAAAGTTGGTCAGCTGCAGGAAGCATGAAGTGCTCTAAAACTTCCTGGTATGTGGCTGCGTTGACCCTGGACCTCAGAAAACACAATGGACCAACACCAGCAGATGACATGGCACCCCAAACCATCACTGACTGTGGAAACTTTACACTGGACTTCAAGCAACTTGGATGAAGTGCCTCTCTTCTTTTCCTCCAGACTCTGGGACCTTGATTTCCAAAGGAAATGCAAAATTTACTTTCATCAGAGAACATGACTTTGGACCACTCACCAGCAGTCCAGTCCTGTTTCTCTTTAGACGCTTCTGACGCTGTCTGTGGTTCAAGAGTGGCTTGACACAAGGAATGCGACAGCAGAAACCCATGTCTTTCATACGTCTGTGTGTGGTGGTTCTTGAAGCACTCACTCCAGCTGCAGTCCACTCTTTGTGAATCTCCCCCACATTTTTGAAGGGGTTTTGTTTCACAATCCTCTCCACGGTGCGGTTATCTCTCTTGCTTGTACACTTTTTTCGACCACATCTTTTCCTTCCCTTCGCCTCTCTATTAATGTGCTTGGACACTGAGCTCTGTGAACAGCCAGCCTCTTTAGCGATGACCTTTTGTGTCTTGCCCTCCTTGTGCAAGGTGTCGATGGTCGTCTTTTGGACAACTGTCAAGTCAGCAGTCTTCCCCATGATTGTGTAGCCTATAGAACTAGACTGAAAGACCATTTAAAGGCTTTTGCAGGTGGTTTGAGTTAATTAGCTGATTAGAGTGTGGTACCAGGGGCCATCAATTTTGAACCTTTTCACAATATTCTAATTTTCTGATATGATGAATTTGAGATTTTCATTTGTTGTCATTTGTAATCATCAAAATTAAACAAAATAAACATCTGAAATATATAAGTTTGTATGTAATGTATGAATATAATATACAAGTTTCACTTTTTAAATGGAATTACTGAAATCAATCTACTTTTTCATGATATTCTAATTTTATGACCAGCACCTGTATACATGATGCTGCCAACAGCGCCCTCCCGTGCCCATAGGAGACACTAACAGTCCCTTCTAAACTTGGATCGTATTTGTTCAGAGAATATTCAAAGAAAAAAATGAAATTCTTTGCAGGAATAATATCTCGTTTGGGAAGAAAAAATGAACATATCCCCTCATGCTTGTGATACAGATTAATTCCTCCAATCATCATATATTTCTAACTCTATTATAGGTTTATGTTCTTTCTTATGATCAACAAAAGCATAGCCCAGTTGGATTTTCTATTTGGGTTGTTTCAATCAACAGTAGAAGTTCATTTTGGAAGCAGCATTATAGATAAGCTACACAAGTGTTTTAACTTAAATAAAAAAGTGTATTTATTCTATTTTCAATAGCAGGACATAACCTGATAGTGACTTAGATAATAATATTTTATTAATGCACATTTCAACTATACACTTTAAGACTTATTACTTTACTGTTTTGCAATGTTACCTGGTTGCAAAATCTTCTCCAGTGCACTAGTTTGATTTTCCAAAGCTTCAAAAAGAACTTTAAATAATTTTCAAATAAATGTAATCTAAATATGGGTTTACTTATGAGAATAAATGCCAAAACTTTCTGTCAAGACAACATGGGAAAATCTCCAAGGCTGAAAGTCAAAGTTCATATTAATTTGCATTTTAATCAACACAAGCAGCTGACATCTTCTGGCAAACTGTTTGAGAACATCTGCTCTGATCACTGCTCAGAATAGTGTTTTGGAATTTGAACCATCTAAATTAAGGGGGGAAACATTTTTTAAAACATTAACAGACATTAATAAACATTTGGTAATTTTTAAATAGACAATCACGTTAATTTAAAACTATCAAAGCATATAGTTTAGGACAACCAATCAGGTGGCTTCCCTCCAGATGGTTCCTGGTGTCGCTCTCGCCCTGTGAGCACATCTGTTGCAAGACATGCATTGAAAGTTCCTTTGTAGAGCACTGGCCACATTTTGGAAGGAGTGGGAAACTGAGAAAGATGGTCCACTCGTTCAACAAAAATAAAACAAGATAGATTTAAAAACAGAAATAATAGAGATTTTTCAGTAAATATGAAAAGCTGATTTAAGCTATATAAAGTTATTATATATATAAATACATTTTAATTCTCAAAAGTGTTATAGAATTTACCTAGACAAGATCAACCAAAAACCAACATAAGTAACTGCTGAAAGAAGAAGAGATTATTCCAGAAATTAATGCAATCGTCTCTTTTCCCTAAACTGACAGGATATAAAAGTTTCAGTTTTTGTTTTTTCCATCCGTGTTGAAATGATGGGTGTGTGATAAATCATGCTGATCAAGAAGTCAATCGCTCTCTATAAAAAGTTACAACCTTCCCACATTCAAAGACAACCACCCCCAGTTGTGCACCTGTTCCCATTTAGATCAAGCTATTGTCCTCTAATAACACAAGCACACCCCATGTGGCAGGGCAGGCTTCTATTCACTCTATTGCTGAGCTCTGATTCGTTCAGACTGTGGGAACCTACTTCCAGACTAAGACCCACACATCGGGATGGAGATGGGGGACTATAAATAAGAGTGCTGTGTTGTATTTTACAACAAGCCAACAGAGAGCAGAATGTCTCTAGAAGAACTCTACTTCAAAGACATCCAACCATGGGACCTATAATCACTGCAGCAACGACCATCTCTTAGGAGCACCTTACTCTGAATAACAAGGTGAATACCAGATCCACCTTTCAATGCACAACTTCAAATACATTTTTGATAATAGCAACACTACTTACTGGAATGTATACTAATAACTTTGTTCTTATTTTGCAGTTCAGAAAGACTCTTGCAGAGAAGCAGCACAGAGATTAAATAAATAACACAATGGAGCAGCTCAAGACACTGCTGGGTTCAGAGTTCCTCAAAAAGCAACCAGACTTCAAGCTGGATAATTAGACATCCTGGAGATGACAGTCTGCTCCCTAAGGCGACTGCAGAAGCAGCACTAGGTGTGTCAAAGAGGTGATGCATCTTCTGATCAAAGTCAGAGTGAAGACGGTTCCAGAGAAGCTCCTGAACTAATCCAACAAGCTTCAAGTTTTTTTTTTACTCTGAAGGACTTTGGAGAGGCTGACCTCTGCTTTGAGCTCCACAGTGGCGCCAATAGACAGGAGTTGGGTCAACAGCGCCATCTGGAGGCCATGGTGGATACTTACAGATTTGATGCAAGAAAAGAAAACATTAATGAGACCACATTGGTCGGACATTGTTTAGCTGCATTGTTGGCTTTTAATGGAACTCTATAATATAATGATATTTCCTTAGGAAATTACAACAATTCATTTCATATTATTTCAAATATTAATGACCACAAAACTAGTGAATTTCAAAATTTAATTGTTCTGTTCATTCTAAAAATTATTAATTTGTTTCACACTGACTTTACCCAAAGTGCACCTATGTGCCCTTTTACATTTTTCTTTCCTATGGAAAGATCTGGCCACTCTACATTGATCTCTTATCAGATCTAAATGTATGTTACAGACCATGCTGGTCAAAGATAAATAACTGGAGTGTTTGAAATTCAAAGACTAATTTTTCTGTATATACTGAAGATTGTTGAAATGATTGAAACAATAGTCAATTTCAGAAACTTTTGATCTGTTAGATCTAGGTGTTTGTGCGCCTTTTGTCTCAAAACTGTCTTCCAGTGTGACTGTACCGAGGACAGCTGAAATATACCTTCCTGCACTTTGAATTTGTTTCCAATGGAAATATTTAATCACTGCATTTTTTTAATCTTTGATTTTTACCACATTTTGTTTAAAAAGAGATCAAGGAAGCATGATTGTGTCTGAAATGTAAACTGGTATTTTCATTTTGAAAACCTGCCCTTATCACTTTGTGATACACTTTTATAATCTATTTTAAGATCATTTTTGGCTTTGGTATTAAGCCAATATATCCATTTGAGAAATGTTTTCTCATATAATGTTCCTGTCTTTTGTGAAGACGACTGTCCTACTGCTCATTCAAGTGTCTTAGAGATTAACCCAATTTGTTGTTATGAATTGTCATTTTTTGGAACTCAACAGGGGTTTCGATTACTTTATTTAAGTTTATTTGCACAAATTCAATAAAATCTGATTGACTTGCACATAGAAGTTTCCTTTTGAATTAAACTGAGTTGCCTTCATTGACATTGTACAGAGGGAGCTGGTTCTAGTGTCTGGGTGCAGCTACTAAGACGGCCTGCTCACCTCAATGTTTATATTTAGTTGTTGAGATTTTTAAGAGGAGCTGGGACAAACAGTGTTTTGCCACATAGCCAGAAACTCAATAAATCAGAAATTTGGGCAAGAGCTTTAAAAACAAACAATAAGGTCATCCATGAGATTCTGTGATCAACACCTGCTGATTGTCCTCCTAATGGAAGCTTTCTCAAGCCACCTTTAAATCTGCTTAAGGAATATAAGATCCTAAATGTTCCAAATGTTCCTTAGCAGCTCATTTTTCTTCCCACGTTGGGAGAACACCAAACTATATGTTGGAATATAACAAGGTTTATGTGCACCTTATGTAATATACCTATAAATATGTTTCTATTCTGAGTATGAGTGAATGTGAAAGAGTCTTAATTTATTTCTTACCAACCATCATATTTTTTTTACAGTTTACAGAAACATTATAAATGTTTTTTCCCCTTTTATCAGACCAATATCTCTAAAATGTGAAGCAGTAACAAGGAGAAGGTTTCAGGTTGCTACATTTGCTTATGCATTTGAACCTATTTTTAACATGAAATAAAAGTTATAAAGTTATTAACCTGATAATTTTGCTCAGGTTTTGGTTAAACTATTATCAATAGTTGAGGAACATTACATGAGCATTATGGCTTAAAACACAAAAGCACAGTTTTCCTTCTGGTTTAGACCCACAATATAATTAATGAGTGTGAGAAAGTTTCTCAGTGAAATAACTAACACAATAGTTATCTAAAGCCCCCCCAACATTTATACAAAATAAAAAAAATTACATGCTACACATTTTTGTAAAACCCAAGAGTTTGACTAGAACTGCAAACAATTAAAAAGTCAAACACATAACCTACTTAATAATTCACTGTATCTGATTTAAGAAAATATTTCATCTGCAAATCTGTTTTGCATTCCTCCACTTGTTCCCCTGAGATCAAGTTTCTATGTCCAACAGATGGCTAATAAGCATGAGGCAGGGGAAAACTCTCTTCTCTCAGCTCTGATTGGTTAAAAGCATTAGAAACTTCAACAAGACCGAGGTCCATATTTTTAAATAAGATGTGGCACTATATCAAAGAAAGCATGAGGCCAGTAGAGATCAGTCTCCACAGACACAGCGCCTCCAATCACTGCTACATTGACACTCAGGGGGGGTCTGACTCTGATCCATAAGTTAAATATAAGATTAACTGAAATTGTACTTTTTCTCTAACATGTAATATGTTGATGAAAAGTTATGCAGGGACCAAATCACCAGCCTGCAGCAGAATAAATCTCTCCTGAGTCCAGAGGTCATGCTGTAAAGGACAGTTTACTGTCTGAGATGGCTGCAGAGGCAACAGCAGTAGCCCTCAGCATGTTGCTTTAAGAGATACTCCAGGAAATACTTCCTAGACAAAGAAAAACTGAAGACACAAACTTGGAAAAGAACACAGCATCACTTCTACAAACACAAGGCTTCCTCTCATATAGGAAGATTTTCTATCCAGCCCAGACCAGCATCAATTAAAACAAAAAGTCTAAACAGCGCCACCTGAAGGCCATAGTTGAAACCTACAGACTACTTCCAGAAGTACTCACAATACTAATTCTGAGTAATTGAAAATTGCATCAATATGTTTTATTCTAAGATAGGGATAAGTGCGGATGTTGTACAAACCAAAGCTGACAGTTTGTTATTTGGATTCCTTTTAATTCATATGGTCATTTTAACTATTATTTGTAGACAACTGATCATAGTGATCAATGATAAAATCACCCTATTTTGAGGACATTGTTCTTATTAGACCTAATACAGCTTAGCTTTAACATACTTTTTTTTTTTTTTGAGATCTACAATTGCAAGGCCTTAAACAAAAATCAACACTGTTTTGAAATCTGAGATTCAACACCTCTACAGCACAATAACTGTAGTAACAGACCAAACTGATCCACATTAAGAGGAAATACATCTTTTATTCATGTTTTTTCTGAATTTAAAGAATAAATTAAATTGATAATGTTTTCCAAAATACTTTATTTTCTGGATTAGTCAGAAAACTATCTTTAGAAATAGGAAAAAGTCAAACATTTATGGACCATCAATCTCACTGTAGGTGGTTTCTGTGAATTTCCTGTACATGCTCTTCCTGTACATACAGAATGTGAATTTATTTTCTGTGCATTGTAAAGATAGATGATATAATACTAATGATTTATGTGACTAAAATACATGTTTGATTTTATGTTAAGTGCATGTTATGAAAATTTATTTAGATATTACTTTAATAGAAAAGAATGATACACTGTGTCAACGTTCATACCTAAGAAAGACATTTTCTCTTCCGAAGTGTCAAAATGTCTGAGATTTCTCCCAGTTATGATGTGTCATCATGGTCATGTGTCATTATTGCAAGTTAATTCTGATTTATTATTAAAAAGATAAAAATAACCAGCATTTCCCTTAGAGTGTATTCTTCTTTCAAAGCACAGCCTTACAGCAGTATGGACATGCTGATTCCTCCAGAGATCATTCTTTCCACATCATCATGTGGTGGCGTTATATGACTGCTGGCTTCAACCTCAATCTGTTTGTTATTTCTATATTAAACACTGTTCATAGTTGACGTGTTCTTAAAAATAGATTGAACAGAATGGGCTGACGTCAAGGCAATGATGAGTCTGTATGATCTGACACATTTCAGAAAAGGCAAACACAAAGCAGAGCCTTTTAGCAAACAAGCTTTTCATGACTGATCAAATGAACAGGTTTTTATGACTTGCTGTTTTTAGATATTACACATCATGGTTTATGTGATCAGAGAAGACATGTTTATCTTTTACTGAAAGCAAAAAAGAAATCAGTGTGAAATAGTGAGAGATGGTGATAAAGCAGTACTATGAATTAGTTAGATTGAGCAATTAAATTGGTAATTTAGATTTCTAACCAGCATTTGTCTGTATTTACTCCTTATCAATGCAGGGTTTACTTTTCTGATCTGCTCCTGTTGTGCGTTCTAATATAGACAATAGAATACCAGCTGAAAGGATGGAGAGCAGAGCAATGCTTTTATAAACACACATGTTTGATTTTGTGGAAAATAAATAGGAGTAAAATATCACTAGATATAAAAAGCTCTGAATCACAGAAGCCATCATATCATATTTGTGTACTAATGTACGCATGAGTCGGTTACTCCATCTAACCTCTGAGGTTAACGTTGATAATGAAATTATTGTAAGATATATTGTAAAATCAAACCTTTTTTTTTTTGTTAGCCTTTGTTTTATTTATTTAAAATCCATGAATTAAACCTACACTTGAATAATTTTGGGATAATTAATACGTATCTCATATATTTCCTTCAGAGAAACGTGTTCGCAAAAATACGAAGTATAAAATCCACATAGTATGCTTCTACCAATTTGTTTTATATGTTTATTGTTCTCCTTAAATGACATACTGTATGTCAACATTTTAAAATGAGCTTTTAAAAGAAAAGTTTAAGCTGATTTTAGATTTTAGCTGAACGTTATTTCTCACACTCTATAAATGTTGTATATTGTTTGTGCTTAATATGCTGCATTGTGTTTGAAACTAATTGTCTTGCATTTATATATATGTATATGAGGCAAGCAACCCTATGGTTTCCCTCCAGATGGTTGGTGACGTAAAACGTTCTCCCTCTGCAGGAGCACATGACCAGCGACCTTGATAAAAGTCTTTCTTTGGTGCAGGAATGAGTGTGGGAAACTTAGACAGACCTTCTACTCACACCAATATCACAAAAAAGCAATCCCACCTGCTACATCTGTACTCTTCTGCATTACGTACATCATATTGAGGAGTTTTCCATTTAAAACTCCCAGTCTTGTTTCTTCTTTTCCTTTTTTTTTTATATTTTAGGGTATCTGCAACCTACTGATTTAATGAAATGCTTCTTTAATACTGCCAAAATGTAAATCTTCTAGATTCCTCGTTTGAATTTCAATAAAATCAATGCATGTTCAACTTATATTTACACATTTCTCTAAAATAATAACCTGATTAATACACAGAAATCAGAAAACGTGTTAACAGCTGAGACAGTGTTTACAATTAAACCCCACGAAAAGTTCAACTGTTCAAATGACTATTTCTTTTTTTAAACATTGTTATTTTGATGGCTTCAAGAAATATAAACACTTTGATATGTGAAGTGGAGGAATTCAAAACTATGCACAAAACAAATGTTCAAATGTCTTTCCAAACAAAGGCACACTTCCATTGATCAATCAGTGAAAGGACAGAGTGTGGGAAAGCAAAGAATCCTCACTCTCAGGGGTTTGGAGAGACAATCGGTTCTGCCCTCTGTCCTGCAGAGATGATATGGAGGAATGAGAGTAAAAAGTAAATGCTCTCTAGTAGACATAGATCACTTTAGGAATAATGTTTTAAAACAGATACAGTCTTTTAATACTTATGGATTTTGCCATAATATTAATAGTTGGGCAAAACCTTCATAATATTAAAACGAAAGTTCTTAAAAAAGTTAATAAAAAAGAAATGATGGTTTATCACCAATTATCTATACTGTAATAGCACTCCTGATATTAGTATTTTACATTTATTTCAAATATTGGAAATGGTGATGTCACCAGCTCATTGTGCGTTGGGGCACACAGTCAGTATCTGTCACAAAGCTGCCTTTAAAGGCCTTTTGTGGTGAACTGACCACATTGGTCATTCGCCAATAGACAAATGTGGGAAACAGAGAAACCTTCTGCTCATGCAAAAACAAAGGAACCAGAGCTGCTGAATCTCCATCAGACAACTTTTTAAAGAATATATAGGGATAAAATTAGATGCTAAAAGTATTATATGGTTCGTAGAGAGCTATTTTCAATAACACCACAGCAAACTATTAAAAAGGTGACCTAAAAAAATCTACACAAAACTATCTATCTATCTATCTATCTATCTATCTATCTATCTATCTATCTATCTATCTATCTATCTATCTATCTATCTATCTATCTATCTATCTATCTATCTATCTATCTATCTATCTATCTATCTATCTATCTATCTATCTATCTATCTATCTATCTATCTATCTATCTATCTATCTATCTATCTATCTATCTATCTATCTATCTATCTATCTATCTATCTATCTATCTATCTATCTATCTATCTATCTATCTATCTATCTATCTATCTATCTATCTATCTATCTATCTATCTATCTATCTATCTATCTATCTATCTATCTATCTATCTATCTATCTATCTATCTATCTATCTATCTATCTATCTATCTATCTATCTATCTATCTATCTATCTATCTATCTATCTATCTATCTATCTATCTATCTATCTATCTATCTATCTATCTATCTATCTATCTATCTATCTATCTATCTATCTATCTATCTATCTATCTATCTATCTATCTATCTATCTATCTATCTATGAATTCCATCAGATTGATCCAGTTGTGTGTCTCGGTAAAACTATCAGTTTTAAAGCATTTCCTAATTTCAAAAGAGGCATGAAAGCGTATCTAATTGGATGCATAATGAGGCACGCTTCCACTGTTCCTGTTCTGAAAGGGCAGAGTGTGGGAAACCAGAGGAAACTCAGTCTCAAAGTCGCTCAGGGACAATAGATTGAGACCTCTGACCCAAGGAGAAACAGGTCTACAGAAACATGTTGCACACTTGCTTTAAATCACTGGTTAAACCTTTACTTTTTTGTACCAACAGTAATACTTTGGTCTTGTTGCAAAAATGAAAACGTTCTCCTCAACAAAGAAAAGAGAAGTTGTATAAATACGCCAGAAAACGTTACATTGAGAAGCATGGACTGGAACTGGAAGAAGGCCACTGAACACGTTTGATCAAAACGGGTCAGAGAGGAGAGTTTCCAACCTGTCCTGCTGTCTGTTCTGAAATGTTTGTCATAAAATCATGTTATGATGTTTTAAATCACACCCGTTGGCAATGAAACGAATTAAGTGATCCAAGTCATGAGGCTGAAATCCAAATCCAGACTGTTAGACACAGAAAACTGTTCATCCGTTACGCTCCATAAGTCGCCAATGGAATAGCACAAACTGTTGCTTCATAAAACCTCTGAGGGATTTTTAGTAATACAGTTATAAAATCATATTCTGTTTTTACTATTAGAAGGCAGATTAAAGCGATAACGTAAAGTTACATTTTTACCATTATGTTAACATTTCCTGGAGCAGAATAATAATCTGAGGGATTTGGCATGTGTGGGGAAAAGATGCCCAATCTCCCATCCCTTCTACATACATCTTAAAGTTACATACTGTAAGGTAGTATGAAAGCCGTAAATATTTAAGTTCATGATAATTTTGCACAAGTTTGCATAATCCTATGTTCAATCCTTTTGGTTTTAAAATATATGCACACACACTAGTTTGAGTACCAAAGCCTTATTCCAAGTTTTATTGCAAAACGACAACAATTAGACAGATTATGAATAAATAATACTTCTTAAAATTCAAGGCTAAAATTTCTACCAACTGTCAGAATTAAAGTAGTAATGTGACAGAGTGACAAAAATGATCTTTGAAAATACAGCTGATTAAATACCAGTGCTCCATCTAGGATTTTTCTCCTACTGAGTTCTCACATGTTTAATGAGTGTACTTAGTAAGTCATAGACGTCAGCATGATCTCTGCTTTCCCACATTCATTCAGAGCTTATGGACCCCCACCGTTGCTTCTCCACCTGCTCCCCTGAGACTTAAAGGCATGAATCACTGTATGAGCACTGAGCATGTGGCAGGGCAGACTTCTATTCTCCTTTCTCCTGAGCTCTGATTGGTTCCGACTGTGGGAAACCGCTTCCAAACCAAGACCCACACATTCAAATGGAGATGCAGGACTATAAATAGGAAGGGTTGAGCTTGCAGAGATCAGAGTCTCTCTAATGAGACCTCTGCAGCACAGGGATCCAGACATGGCACTTAAAATCACTACAACCATGACCAACTCTCTGGAGCATCTGATTCTGAACCACAAGGTAAATATGATATTCAAGCAAAATTACCTCTTTTGGTTTCTGTTACCTTAGATCAGCAGTAAATAGTAAAAATACGTTTACTAATGATTTCGTTTTTGCTTCTCCAGGTCAAAACACCTCTAGTTAAAACGGTGGGGATTCAGCAGCATCAAGAAACTCAAGTCTCCTCTGTTCTTCAAAGCTGCCAGACTTGAAGCTTTTCTGAGATGACTGCAAGCATCCAGCCGTGGGCTCAGCAGCTGCTGATCAGGGCTACTGCCGATGCGTCCGGGAGGTTGGCCCTTCCTTTCAGAGCTCCAGAAAAGACTGTTAAACCCCCTTCAACAAGACGTGATCTGAGGAGAACCTGAGGAAGGTGTAGCTGTCTTTAAATTCGGACTACCACCTTCAGTAAAGAAAGGGGACCAGAAAAACAGCGCACCTTAGAGGTGTTGGAAGAGACTTACAGACTGGATTCACTCAAAGACATTTACTTTGCCATAATGGTAAATAATCATTTGACTGAATTATATTACGTTCTACGGACTTCCTTCTGATGAACAGAAGACTTATCTTTTGCATTTATTATGCATTTAATTACCTTTCCTGTGGAAAAATTAATAATAATGTATTTTTGGTAAAGAAATATGTGTACATAGAAAAAAATCTGATTGCATCTGCAATTATAGTTCCTTTGTGATTTCATTATCACTGTAGATTTCTGATCAAAATGATCAAATCTAAAATCTTCTTACTCCTTTTCTAGGGATAAGATATATCAGTTAACTTAAACTGAGTAAGTCAAAGATCTTTTTTGAGATCTGAATGATCATTAATTGTTAATGATTTTACTGAATTTGTGAAATTCAAAAGAATTTGAGGGAAAAACCTTTATTCTTCTTATTAGAACATCAGCTGTTGTTACACAACAAAAATATTTGGGATGGTTAAGGAAAATTAAAGAAGACCATATTGGTTGAAGTGAACTTGAACAAACATTTAAGATCATTTAATTTGTTCATCTGAATATCTTTTTGATTGTTTCTTAGATTTTCTGAGGAATTGTGAATATCTCCCATGACGATAAGAAAACATCTATCTCATAATAGACCATGTTGGTTTAATTCATACAGCAGACTTATTTTTTCTGTATCTACAGGAAGTTCATTAACCACTTTCTTTCTAGAAGTTATTATATTCCTTTTAATAGAAAGGAGATATATTCAATCAAAGGCTTTCTTATTGTAAAGATTCCTTTGTGAAATGTACTGAATTGTGATGCATGACTATGAACATCTGATCTGTTCTAAGGTCAGGTTTTTTATTTGCCACTTCTGTGAAGTGCAGATTTAATACCAACGATGTTTTCTATGAAAAGAAAAAAAATTTCTCGTGATGATTTAAGTCTTTTGTAAAGATGGTCGTTCCTCCACTCACTATGAGTAAAATGTCTTGGAGAGTTATCCAAGGATCGTTCTGATGTATCATCATGCATTTTGTCATACGTTTTGAATGACTTTGTTTTTATTAAAAACAAAACTGCAACAAAAACCAATCCTGTTCTGTTTGTATTTCTTCTCCTTATGTCTTTAACTTGCCATTGTTTAAATGTGATAAACCATTTTTACTGTATAATTCCTTTAGTTTTAAAATGACTAAAACCTTAATTTTGAGGGTTGAGTTTAATTCACAGCTTTAATGAAGTTATGATATACAAATTCCTTCAGTGATCCCCTTTGCCAACATGCTGGTGTTATGCTTTGTTTCACCTACATGCCATAAAGCGCTGTGTTTAACCTGTCCACACTGATGAGAATTGATTTGCATGACAAGTTCTTATTAACTAATACTTCAGAACCTAAAATTTAGCTCTTATATTTACAAAAATATCAGGAACAGTTTTTTATTAATGACCAGTTCTGCCATCCAGTTATACGTATTTTACGTTAAAAAAGGATGAAGGTCTATGATAATAAAAATGGTTGAGTTCTGAAGCTTCATTTTTTTCTAAAAACTTAAGAAAACTACTACTACTGTTTATAATTGCAATGTTCTGTGTAAATTAATAGTTTAGGATTATACTTGATATTGGTGAAGGCAGCTAATTTGAATAAAAAGATGTAAAAATAAAATTAGTAAAAGTCACCACCTATGTCAGCTTAAAAATTGTGAAAAAGTGTATAAAGTCTTATAGTTAGAATAATAAAAGAGCATGTTTCTTCAACAACAATAGCTGCCAACTTTTAATTCGGACCATTTGGTTAAAGAAACAATGTAATGTGATGGAAAACACAAAACTTTTCAATTAATTTAGTGTGCTCTCAAAACATTAAAGGAGAATATAAGGGAGACATTTTGTGGTCACACTTTAATGCCCCTTAGGGATCAATAAGGTGTTTTAAAATTTAATTTAAAAGTCAACATCTGGACTCAAGCATCATATTTGTTGTTCAGCAGCCTTCCAGAAATAAAAATTACCCAATTTGGGTAATTTTTATATTTCTATAAATAGACCTACGCAAAACTCATTAAATGCCAGTTTGAGAGTTACACCATTTCTTGTTTTAGAAATAGCCCATTACTTTATGTCTTCCCTTTGTATTTATATATTCATGTTTTTTATCTATTCCAAATCAAATGGCATCACCTAAATATATACGTACTATTGATGATAAGCATACTTTCATTGTAATTGTTTTAAGCATTATATAAAAAAATGTCAGACAACAAAGTTATCTTTTAAAACATTTAAAAAAAACAACTTTTATTTAACTCTATTTGCATTACTAATGATTTGCTTTCTCAAATTTCTAAAGAAAGGTTTCACTATATGAAATGTATTATTATTTTTGTTAATTAGAATATTTTCCTAATATGACATTAATCATTTAAGGCAAGATTTAACTGAGGCTGGAAAAGAGTCATTCATTTACTTTGTTAAAAAAGACAACAGCCAAAGCTTTTAATTAATTGATGAGCATTTGACGAACTTTGCAACAGCTGAGTGGTTTCCATGGTGATGTAGTATGTTTCCCTGGCCATAATTTCTGTGTCTATATAATACAGCTATCTACAACTTTCAACTGCAGTCATTATTTCTATTTCTAGAAGTTAGTGTGGCTGTTTACAGCTGATCAGTCAGAACTGATTTGAGGATTTTATTAGGGATTTAATGCAGTCAATCAGTTCCGCTGTTTGCCTCCAGATGGGTGGTGACGTCAGATCCCTGTTGGAGGGAACAGTCAGTATCCATAACAAAAGCTGCTGTCAAGTCTTTTTCTGCTGCTCACAGTATTTGTCACTTAAAAATAATAAAAAAAAACAGCCTGCCAATCTACAAAGAAGAGTTTATCTTTTTTAAGAAAAACAAAAAAGAAATTTGATTGCACAAATGATATTAAATTATATGATTAAATCTTTATAGTTAAGATTATCTTTATATATGATACATGATTGTTAAACAAATGCCACTGCAGCTTATAAAAGAAATGCACATTTAAGCAAAAAATACTTTGAAGCAGTTCTTTCACACGGCAATGAAATTTTACTGCAGCTTCACGTTATATAAAAGCTTAGTTTTAAGTATTTAAGAAAAAAAAAGTGTTTTCTTAATGAAAAAAACTGTGAAAATTTCTTAAAATAAGTACATTTACCCTAAATTTATGTAGGTAAACAAAACAATCTGCCAATGAAATGCACATTTTAATCCTTAAAATAAGATATTTATTTATTATGCACTTGAGGAGACTGCAGTTGTTTTTTTCTTATTGTAAACTTAAATTGTCTTGTTCTGTTGGCAAAGTTTCTCAATTACCTGCGTAACTCAAGAAAAAATCACTAAAATTCAAGCATACACATTTTTTATTTACTCACAGACGCATCTGTTTTTGGAAGTAGATATCATATATCACATACAAAACTCTACTGTTCGTTACATTTCAATCAGCTTTCGATAATTGATTCGGAATAGTGCAATTTGTAGCTCCTACCTCCTATTCCCTCACTTTTCACAGGATCAACAATATGAACTCTATCGAGGGTAGGAAAGGAGCTCTGGACCAGGGAATAATTTTTCGTCAGAAAAGCACAGAATTACAAATTTTCTATGGTTGTGCAGCTGGTTAGTTTTCAACCAAAGTTTCATTACAGTTTTGGATATGCTCTGGCGGATTGTACCACAGGTGCGCTCCTCGTACTTGAACAACTTCAATTTAAATAAGTTGAAGAATAAACTGCAAACATTGGGATCCTTATGAAGAATGCAGCAAGTTGGATATATGATTTGGAAATAGGAACGGAAATATATATATATATAAAAAAAAAAAAACTATTAACATGCATGAAAAGCACTATAGGTGTATTGGTAAATGGTTGAGGAAGCCAGTTTAAAACCTTAAGATCAGTGAAAGCTTCTGCTTCAGCAAGCAAATATGATCTCTGTGCAAAGTCAACACTTCCACAGATTCATCCTGCACCCTCCCTCTCTGCTTAAACCCCCTGAGACCCTAATTTTATCATTCTCTAACATGACCTCTAAGCACACTCCACAGATTTCTCCTTTTGTTGTATTTTTCTGGTGATCTGATTGACCAGGATGGTGGGAAGTCATCAACATCCATAAATATCCATGGTGAGATGTAGATGAGTGGATGTTTCTCAAATAAGTTAGATTTTAATTAAAGAGACAGTGGATTTTGTTATTAAAATGTTTATCACCTCTATGAGCCCACTATTTGAGAATCTTTAAAGTCTTTCTGGACAAACTGGGAAATGCTTTTTTCTTTCTTATTCTGGTTAAAATTTGGTTTTGTGGAATCTGCATTTAGCATCAGTGATTTTCTAACCCTGTGCTTTTGGGTGGTGAAAAGTTCACATTTAATTGCTACTTAACTATGGAAGAATTTTGACCTCCACTTTTTTTAGAGAATTGTTTTAAATAAGCCACATTTGATCCACAGATTTCTTTTGTAAAACCAATGGAGCTCTTTAAAATATATAAATCTGTCCTATATACGCATCTGTTTTTTGGCAGCAGTGATTTAGTACCAGTACATTAAAATGATACTCCTTTTTTCAAAGACTGTTTATTTGTCATCAAGCCTGAAGCAGGAGGGCAAAATTTTAGTTTCAATCAGCCCATCCAAGAAAAGACAACCAATATTCATGGGAAGACGTGGTATCCGGGGCCTTGCTAAAATCAAAGGCGCTGCCCTTGCAGTTAAGGAAATAAAGAGAAAGTAATCCCATTGGGTAAGAGGAGGGAAAATAAATTATATTTTCAAATCTGATCCTAAGCAGGACACAGTCTGAGACTGCAAACAAACCTCAGCACAAGAAGCAAAACATGCTAAAACATGAGCACTGATCTTGTAAAATGCCTTCTTGATTGTTTTAGCCTCAGTAAACTATAACATATCTGCTGGCCAAAGACGTCACATCAACACAGATGCTGGATGCAAAACAGGGTGGCACACTCTCCCCCTTGATGAAAGCCTCTCAGTGTGCCTAATGTGAGGAGGTTTAATGGGGCACACGTCTATTGTCCCACCAATGAAAAGACAGAGTGTGGGAAACCAGAGGAAGTTCACTCACAGAACCGCTGAGGGACAATAGAGCTGGACCTTTGCCCCAAGAGGCACAGGCAAAGCTCAGAAGCAAAATGAATGCTTCCTTCAACTGATATGATTTTGTTCTATTACTATATTATATTATATTATGCTATTTTATTTTATATTATAGTATTCTATTGTAATTATGACTATATGTTTAATTTTATCTTGTGCACTCTGTACATTTTACTTTTATATTTGGGCACATGCCTTTAAGGAGTGTGGGAAAGCTCTAGGAAAGCATATATTACTACAATTTGATTGGTCTAAACAGTCCTGCTAACTACTCTCAAAAGGGATTTGGCACGTGTCAAAAGCAGCTGCCTCATTACCCTGCCAGCAACATGTAGAGATAATGATTGACTCGCATATATTAGTATGAGTGTACTTTTAAAACATTGACGTCATTAAAGCAATGTTTATAAAACTATAGTTGTACAAATATTTCAAAAAGGTATTTTAAATACAGAAGCAGCTACTATCAGCTATGACTGCTCCTAACAGTCATTTTTAAAGTCAAGTTGTCCCTTGTTCAATTTTTGAAATGCTATTCAGTTGTAATCATGATGCATAAACACTGTTGTACAGCAGATTTCAGTTAATGCTATGATTATTGCTCGGTGGTATGAAATGTGTGCACATGGAATTGTATGAGGCTTTTCAATAAATAAACTTCTTAATTTAACTGGTTGAAAAATACTTATAGAGCTCCCCATGAATGTAAAGTTTAAATTCCTCAAGTAAACTAATGCTGCTCTTTAGCCCGGCAGTATAATTAACTAAAACTGGTAAGAAAGTTGTAAAATCGACTTTCTAGCAGTTACAGTACGCTGGTATCACTATTAAACAATAAATAAATAAAAACAGATTTTATTATGCTGGAGCAATCTTTACCTCCAGGTGTTGAATATCAAAACCTTTAGGAGAACCAATGTGAGGGGTAAGGAGACACACTCCTTTTGTTCCTTTAGTTCAAGCAGTGAAAGCACAGAGTGTGGGAAACCAGAAGAGATTCACTCACAGAGTCCCTAAAGGACAATAGATCCCAACATCTTATTGAAGAGTGTCAGAGGATAAAAGAAATATGGTGGGAGACAATTATAAACACACCTAAGTGACGAATGCAGAATATACACATTTCTTACAAATTACATAATTGGATTGATATTTCTAAAAGTTATCGCAATGATTGTCCAGCCCTTTAAACAAGTTTAGTCGGGCCAAATAAATATATGTAATCAATACAGAAACAGCCAATTTTTTTTTGTCAGTCATTGAAATATTTTGTCATTTTTTATCATGTTAATCTAAAAAAAACCTATAATTTAATTAAATGATACAGTGTTCCTGATGTGGTTATAAACAAGTATAAACTGCACATTACATTTAAATAAAGCAACGAGCCCTTGTACATTTCTCTTGACAAACAGGCACAGCTTTAGAAGCTTTAGTACTGATTAATGCTGAGTTTATCCTTACTAGTTAGTTTATAGTTTTCTTTGCGAAGTTATATTAATAAAAAGGCAAATTTGTCTAATAAGCATATTGACTAAATACACACAGATAGTTTTAAACCCTTTGTTTTTTGTTCATTAGTATCTGTTGGAAATTACAACTGAAACATTTCATTTATTTCTTACTTGACTGAAATAATAACAGCCATTAGAAAATCATTTTCAATATAGAAATTGGGGTTTAATCAAAAGTACTGAGTGTCATTATTTTCAAAGGGTACTTTAATCTTACAAATTAGCTTATTTGTTTAATTTAGTGAGACATACCTTTAACTGTATGTTGGTGACTTTAATATAGTTCTATAACAACAGTAACAACTTTGTTTGGCACACTTAGCTGAACGTGATGTGTCACCAAAGGTTCAGCTCAAGTATTTTAAAGGCAACCAGTCATGTTGTTTCCCGCCAGATTGTTGGTGACATCAGATTCTGTCCCTTTTAGAGCAAACGTCCGGCATCTGTCACCCACGGCTCTTTTCAAACTCCCTTTGTAATGCACTGACCACACCAATAAAAGACTGAGTGTGGGAAACTGGGAGAAATCTTCTGCTCACAGTCCAGCCCCAGGAATGTGAGCAGTCCTATTGATTGGTACACCTGCTCCTGATTTCTTTACTCAGATCAAAGCCAATATCTCTTGGTCATTTTAAAGTTTGATGATCTTGACATTACAATTAATCAAATGATTAACATTCTATGGAAACTACAAAAAAGCTGAAACTACCCACATATGTTGTGCAAAAGACAAAGTAACAGTTAATCAGGTTTGACCTGCAGGAGAGGAAAAGTGATCGGTAATGTAACTGATCTCAGCCTCGAGCAGCAGATGTGATCTCCATGAGAAGCCACTTGTTTCCCAGATTTATACAGAGCTCAGTGCCTCTTTCCCTCCATTTCCCACTACTTCTCCACCTGTTCCCCTGAGATCAAACTATTGTCCCTTGCTAACATGAGCACTGAGCATGTGGCAGGGCAGACTTCTATTATCTTCTGTCCTGTGCTCTGATTGGTTCAGGCTGTGGGAAACTTCTTCCAGACCAAGACCCACACATTCAGATTGTGAGGTGGGACTATAAATAGAGGGAGTGAAGCTAGGAGAGACCAGATACTCTGCACAGAGACCTCTACAACACACAAATCCAAATATGGCACCTAAAATCATTGCAGCACCAGCCAACCATCAGGAGCATCTTACTCTGAACCACAAGGTAAATATAAAATTCATTAAAGGTTTACCATTATTTGGGAGAGTTCTCAATTTTTGATACCAACAATACACAATTGAATTAGTTTAATGACCATTTTTTGTCTTATTCCTGTAGCTCAGAAAGCCTTTTGTGGAGAAATTACGCAGAGAGCGAATCAACAGCAGCATTGAGCAGCTCAAGACACTCCTGGGTCCGGAGTTCCTAAAACAGCAGCCAGACTCCAAGATGGAGAAAGCTGACATCCTGGAGATGACGGTCTGCTTCCTCAGACGACTGCAGAAACAGCAGAAACATCCAGCTGTGGACACAGGAGCTGCAGATATTGGCTACTCCAGATGTGTCCAAGAGGTGATGCACTTCCTGTCCAAAGATGAGCTGGAGACACAGTCCAAGAGTCAGCTGCTGAACCACTGCAGTAAGGTGCGGACTACCTCTGATGAGAACCTTCAAGAGGCTGATTTCTCTTCCACGAACGCCACAGTCCAGACAAGCTTTGATAAGGACAACCATCCGAATACCAGCGCCCTCTGGAGACCGTGGTAGACATGAACAGAGAGACGTTGCTACCTCAAAAAGTAAACCAGACTGATAGACTGCATTGTCTACTTTAATGTCATGTATTTCTATGAAATACTTCTTTTAAAAGTAAATAAGCCTTTGATTAAATAGGGCTTTTATTTTGCATGTGATCAAATTTCCTGTGGAAATTATAACTTAGTATTTTCTTTGAATATCTTTCAGGTTATATTGACCAACTTGTTATTGTCTCTGTTGATTTCTCTGTAATTCTATGGTTTACTATAAATTCTTTAATAATGATCATGATGGTCAAAAATGAAATTGTCCTTTTTTTTAGGACAATGTTGTTCTTTTTACATTATCCAAGTTCCATACTAACCTTTTATGTCCTTGATTGTTACATAATGTGACCTATCATCACCTTTTAAGGGCTTTATTTAACTGATTGATTTAAAAATTAATAGGCCTATCTTAAAAACAAGGAGTTAATTTTTACTGTTGCTTTTTTACTTTATTGGATTTTATGGATAATTTGATCTGTTTTAAGGTCACTCTATTTTTACTGAAGTTTATTAAGTTTTATTTGAAAATTCAGCAAATCTTTTGTCTTTTAAAAAGATGTGTCTCAGATCTTTACACTCTGTGAGTATACTGTGACTTGTTGAAATCAACAAGTTGTTGTTGTGATGCATCATCACTTCTTAATGGAGCTTTTGTACTTTCTGTCATTTGGTGCCTTTAATAAACAACTGAGCTGAAACTGAAGTTTTTTTTACTTTATTGCAAAGTTTGTCTTCATGTCCTCGTGTTTTTTTATGCAACAAAAAAATCAAAATAATATTTTATGTCAATTGAGATTTAAATTATAACTTGCTTTTTACAAATTGTAGGAGGATGACAACAAATGGTGTTTATTAGTCTATTTCTATATCTCCCTTTATAAATGAACAGGATTTATTTAATGTGAATTTTGGTACAGTATTATTTTATGTGCTGACTTAGATGTCAGTGCTTGAAGCATTTCTTTCTATAAAAGAGTTATGACAGCATATCTAATGTGTGCTTAATGAGGCACACTTCCATTGTTCTATTGTGTGGAAACCCAGAGGAAACTTAATGGGGGCCAGTTTAATTTCATTTAATTTATTTATAGAGAGAGTGCATGTTAATTGATAAACATAAAAAACACATGAATGTAAACATCCCAGATTGTGGCCAAAGACTAATTTCCATCCAGTGCCCCACAGAGAGCGGGTTATAAAACAATAAAATTGAAAAAACCTTTATACATTAAAAAGAGGGGTTACTTATACATTACATTCACACCACAACACACTTTACAATAAACTGATCTGGATCATTAACCTGAACAGAAACAAGTTAACAGAGAGATGGAGCTCTAAAAAGCCTGTTTTTGAATCTGTTCTTTAATTTTTAAGTATTTTCCAATTCTTTTCTACCAATCAGTTTTTTTATGTTTACAGACTGTTATACTTTCTTCCTAACAATATATATATTTCAGGATTATTAAAAATTGCACATCTTGAAGATTTTTGTTGGAATTGTTTTGATATTTTATTCAATACTTGTTTTTTGTTATTTGAGTTTATTGAAATATATCAATCTGAAACAAATGAAAATATTAAAGAAAAAAGTTATCAAATTCAGTTTTATGGACTTACCCACTAATCAAACAGGAGTATTCTAAAACAATAAAGCATTATTTTGTCATTTCATGAGTGCGATCGATGGGATGATTTTATTTTATAATAAAAAACTTTTTATGCAAGAAATCTAAAAAAAAAATGTTTTACTGTTAATGTTTTGAGGAAATAAGAAAAATATTTCGAAATAAGAAACCCTACAGTGTTCACGTAGTTTCAGATTGATGAGTGGATATAGTTTAATTGTCCTCACCAGCAGATGATATTTCTCTAAAGGGATTTAGCTGAAAAGTGGCCCCTCCCATCCTAAATGCGTTCCTATATCTTTTATCTAATGATGGAAATAAATATTTATTTATTAAATTATTATCTGATGTATACCCTTTTGGTAAAGCATTCAATTTTAGTATAAAAAAATTCCTATTTTTGAGACTTTCTAAACCTGAACTTTAAAGTCAGATTGAAAAGATTAGGTCAAGTTTCTACAGACTTTGACCTTTGGGCAAATCTGCTTTAGACCCAAATCAAAAATGAAACAGGAGTCTAAAATATAATCAAATGTATATAAATAATAGCTGCATCATAACAGTCCATGCAGAATTCTTAAACTGGATCAAAACAAATTATACAATGCTCATAAAACCCCTTCAGCTCATAGATGTAAACCGTTCATGTACTATATTTCCCATCCTCTATTGTTCGCAGTTCTCTAAAAGCTAATTTGGCTCTTATTTTAGATCGTAGAATTTTTCTTGAATTTAAAAACACTAATTAAGAGGCAGGCATGGATTCAGGCTATCTGAAACCTGATTCGTACGGAGACCCACACATTTAAATGGAGAAGTGTGTCTATAGATAGGAGAGGTGAAGCCATCAGTGATCAAATTCTATTCAAAGCACAAAACCCAACCACCTAGAAACACTACATAAATAAAAATACTTACTTTTCTTAAATTTAGAATAGTCTTTGTCTTTTACAAAGGTAACTGGTCTTTCATTTTATCTTATTGGGTTCAGTGCTAACCAGGGTAATACAAACTATTAGGTGGTTGTTTCATCATATGTTGTCAACACCAGTTGTAGATGGATGTGTTTGCTAAGTAAATAAAAAAAAAAAAAACAGAACACTAGCTAAAAATGTATTCTATAGTTTTAGGATGTTAACATTAGTAGTATGTGTAATGAACTGCAATTTACATTTAAATTAATGGTAACCAGAAAGATGATTATTCTTTATAAACCCAAAACAAACAAACAAAAAAGATATTTTTGAAAATTATAGTTTTTTTCCATAAAAAAAAAAAGAATAAATAAAAATGACTCTTTTGGACCCATTGGTAAAAAGTGTCTGTTCCAATTTGTGCATTTTTGCCTTAAACAAAATCCTCCATTACTAAAATCTAAAGTTTAACAAATAGTTTTGTTAAACCCTCACTTTCAGTTTTTGCAGTAACAAAAAATACAATGTCCCTTCTTAAAGAGGTCATAATGGCCTTACTATTTGCATAATCAGGCACACTTCTATTGTTCCTCCCATCATAGGAAGAGTGTGGGAACACAGAAAAGACCCACTCACAGAGCCGCTGTGGGACAATAGATCCAGACCTTTGCCCTCAAACGGAATGGATAACAAGGGGACCCGACTCCAGAGATCTGAGTTGTTTTCAACCATTTTAGTGGATTTTAGATAAGCTTGTATCACATATTCAGAAACATCACTTTGGGTTTACCTTACTGACATAAACTCTTTAAAAAAGATAATATTTTAGAAAATTCCCACAAACTTTTTTTTTTGCAGGTTACACATTTTGAATCTATTGATTAGGCGTATTCTTACTATTTTCAGATGCAAACTATGTTTTAACAGCAGAAATATACATACAGAAATGAATGATCAGAGGGTACGGAAGAAAACTTCTAGCAAATCATTAGTTTTCCAGAGGGATTTGACACACTTCAAGGCAGTCCCACAGGAAGTATTTCTGACTACACTTGACAAGAGGGTAATGATGCTCTACAATTTTTATTATGGAATGGTAATTCAAGGTAATTACAGTCTTAAAATTGAACATGACAACCCCTTTTAATGGGCTATAGGACCAGCTTCTTTTATTTTTCCTAGGCAGCTTTTCAAAGCATCAGTGGGACCTTCTCCCTCCAGATGGTTGGTGATGTAATGTTCTGTGTCTAAGAGCTAACACCTGTCACGGACGTGCCTTTTGTGATTCCCTAATCACAGCAGAGGCTCAGTGTGGGAAACTCATCTGGTCGTGCTACTCACACGAGCTACAGGGCACGTGTCAGAGTTAATAATTACGCTGCTGTCCAAACAGGACACGTGCCAAAACTCAGCTGCATCTGCAGATCAGTGTGTTAATTGCTGTGAGCTGTTTTCTAAATGACTGATAGCATATTTTAATGTTGCAGAATTACATAGTGTAATTCTTCCTTGTTGTTTTAATTAGAGTCTGTTGAAAAACTTTCATGACTCTAGAACTGAGAAAAAAAAATTATTTGTCCATTTGTTTGTTTGTATGGTTTGACCAATCTATATAAACAATCTCTCAGACTGCATGCTGTGTGATTTCAGTTTGGATTTTTTTTTCACCATATCATATTTAAAAGCCTGCCGTCATCCTAACTCCACTGATGCCTACCTTAGGGAGCGTGTCAGCTTTCAGGGTCACAACTTTCCCACATTGATACAGAGCGCTGTGGGTGTGGTCCACCTGCTCCCTCTGAAATCTAACAATCATCCCTGCAGGCATTAACGGCAGCATGTTAGTGCCCCGCATGTCTATTGTTTCTCTGGGAGATCTGATTGGACCAGACTGTGGGAAAGCTCAACCAGAGAGAGACCCACACATTGATATGGAGATCTGGAAGTATAAATAGGAGGGATGAGGACAGTAAAGATCAGATTCTCTCTTCAGAGAGCCCCGCAGCATCTACAGCAAATCATGGCACCCATCCCTGCAGCTTTGGCTGACTCTCAGGAGCATCTGACTCTCAACCACAAGGTTAGTTGGATTATATTCGTCTTGGTTTTGTTATTATTTGAAGTCTTTCTGTTTCACAGTATGTTCCAAAATACGTTTAGTAATTTCTTTCCTATTATTTCTGCAGCTCAGAAAGCCTCTGGTGGAAAAATTACGCAGAGAGCGGATCAACAGCAGCATTGAGCAGCTCAAGGCTCTCCTTGGTCCAGAGCTCCTAAAACAGCAGCCAGACTCCAAGATGGAGAAAGCAGACATCCTAGAGATGACAGTTTGCTTCCTGCTGCAGCTGATGCAACAAAACCAGCAGCAGAGAAGAGAGCTGAACCAGGCTAAACAAGCTGAGGCTGATTTCGATGACAAACTAAAAGATCCTGGAATCGTTCTGAACACCTGTCAGAGCATCAAAGATGAGGAGAAAGATCCTAAAGTTCTGTGGAGACCATGGTAGAAACCTTCTGGCTGAAGTTTAATTTGGATGTATGAAGAGATAAAATCAGCCTAAGATGACTGGTGTGAGAGATGTTGAGGACTTTTCATTCTGTTTGAACTGAGCTTGTATGATGTGTCTGTTTTCTTGTTTGTCTACATTTCCAGTGGAAATGGCTGCAGCTTCTTTTATGTTAAGATAGACAATAATTTTATGTATATTGCATAAAACTTAACTGATTGATTTGCAACCTTTTTTTTTTACTATAATAATGCTGATATATCAGTAGAAAGACCATATGGGTTAAAGAATTACTGAGCTAATTGTTCAAATTTAAAAGAACGGGGTCTTCTGTTTGTAAAGAAGAATTGCTTCTGGATATGAAGCGTCTTTATTACTTTGCTTTATAAGCAAGATATATATATTTTCTTTATGAAATGACATAAGCAGTTTGATGCATGTTGCATGAACCAATTAATTTTCTTTTTTTGGCTATGTAAATGTTTTGGAACATGACTGTACTTTCTACTAGCTAATTTCACTTTTGATTTATCGCTGTTATGGGAAATATATAGTTCTTCTAAAGAACCGTGTTATTAATAGACTTAATCTATTGGATTACTTCGATTTGGTCTTATTACCAGATCTTACTTTTGATCCATTAATTTTTAATGG